GTAAATGACTCATAAAAAAAAAAGAAGATATTTTTTCATATATAAAAAATAGAGAAGCAACAACAACAACTTGAACGAGATGTAAATTAATTTTCTTAATGTAAATTTTATTTCCCTTTTGTTACTTTTTATTTTACATACATATTATAATGTGCACGTCAACAAAAACACCGTCATATACAAAAATTTAATGTAAAATATTATTACACATAAGTATATGTAAATGTTTTTCTATGTATGTAATGTTAAATTGTATAAATATACAAGGTGTAAACGCTCACCTCATGTTACCCTATATATTATGTCAAATGCTAATGTCAAATATGGCAATAGAAAATATGCCAATAAGAAAACGATAACGAACTCTATGACCTAGAAATTGTTATTTGGTACCAATGGTGTACTACAACCCCTAAGGCAAATGTACATACTAAAAAAATTACGAAATATTTAAGAAGAAAAATGATTTAAAATAAAAATTTACCGTATAAAATCTACATCATGCATAAGAGAATTTTCTCCATCACATTACAATTATACGATTTCGCAAGATCCGTGTTCGGCCCACGTATAAAAATTGGGTAAAAATTCTGCAGTTCACCTACTTCTTTATTTATTGCTCCAACATTGCTTCCATATCTATAGTATTCGTATTTTCGTCTGCAGTATTGCTTCATTACCAGCGAAAAGTGAACGTTTCTTATAAATTTTCCATCTTTTTAATGCTAGCAAGCCAATCAAAATTACATACGATTACGAAGACAGCCGCATCCAAAATCACGCAATAAGAATATATTACCCAAAAAATTCCCAACGTTGTTTCGAGCACAATGATCCACATCGAAATCCACCTGCCCGAATCTACGCCTCATAAAATATTATCAATTGGGATAAAAATCAACTAAAGACGTCTTTTAAAAAACCATCGATATTTTTCATTAACCTGCTTAGTTGGTTTGTGACTGCAAACGGATATACTGACAGAAGTTTAATATTTTATCTAAATTTATCACTATACACAATCTTGATTGCTTCTACTCGAATGGCAACTGATTTGAAATCATATTACATATACTTTACTTAAGAATTATATATGCGAATATCCGGTCTCTAAGCAACACCCTATATATACATATGTAAAATTTCTAAAAGTGTATAATTTAAATATTAAAGAGATATAAAATATGAAATAAAAGAATGGAAGCTTCATACATTTTGTTTTATCATGAAACGCGTAAACAAATTATGCCTATAAAAAAAAAATTCTTAATAAATTTAATTTCAATGTTTTTCATTTTATATTTTTGAAATTAAGAAGTTAAAATATTTTTGTTTAAATTAGTTTAAAATTTTATAAAAATAATTTCTTTATTTAAATTTTTTTCATATTGATAGAATTGTTGATAATAAATTAAATGAATTCGGAGAATATGAGAACGTGTAATGCTTATAAAGCATATAAAAGTGAAAAATTTTAGTTGAAAATTAAGATTACACACACGACATATGCTCCTAACAATATTATGAATAATATTGTGATACAAAATTAAATATTGAATTATATATTATAAGGTTAATAGCAAAAATATATCAAAAACTTTTAAAAATTATTTTCATTAAAATTTGCTAAGCGAATGATAAGAAAGTATACCTCAATTCCTGTCAATCAACGTTTTTCTGTTACTTAGGTATAGATGTTAGAATAATCTTACAGTATTGCTAAATACATTAAAGGGTCCGCACGGATTCTGAAAAATAATTTGTAAATTTGTAAAATTTTCAGATCCACAGGAGTTCTAGCATAACTGTATTGATATTTACCATTAATAAATCATTTTTTAATAATATGAGCGGACAAATATACTGCCCCTATAAGTAGGCAACAATATGAGAATGAATGTACTATATAAATCAAAATTTACTTTCTTTTGTTCGAATATCACTATTATCTCTTTTGATAATACGGCATTTTTTCATTACAAATTTTATCTTAAGCAACGTATCTAGCAATATTTAGCAACATACCGCAAATTATAAATGAATATCAATAAAATTAAATTATTGAAAATTAATTGCTTGTATCACATACAAAAACATAAAATCCAACTAGTTTTTCTTACAATCCTTAAGGGTTAAAACATTAATTCCTTTACGATAAAATTCCAATAAATTCACAAATTCAATAAGTTTATTATGTAAAATTAAAATACGACCGTGTAGCTCATAATACAAAATTTTAATCTTATTTCCATTATAATCTCATAAATTTTCAAAATTTTACAAAAGAGATTTTTCAATATCTTTATTATAAGTTTCACTTGTACTACATAATACTTGGTGTTTCATTATCATATAGGATATTTTATATAACATAATCAGGACAAAATATAAATTCAGATAACAAAAAAGATAACAATCAAATAAAAAACATGAAAACTTTTCTTATTATCCTGTTCCCCTTGATTTTGGAATCGATATTCGATGATAATGATTTTCATGTTCATGAAATAATAAAAAATATGTTAAAAAAATTCATTGAAAAAGTTGAAAAATTTTGTAAGGAAAATAATAAGAGGAAAAACTGAAAGAGATGAAAGGTGAGAGAGGATTAAAATTTTGTAATAATTCAAAATATTCATAACCTATCGAGTGCAGAGAAAGAAAAAACAACGAAAGAAGAAGAGAACAAAAGCAAAAAATGAGAATTAAGTTAAACAGAAAAAAAAAAATTATATAAAATGGACGTATAGGCGGCGGCATGTTTATTAATGTGTGCGTATATGTAAACAAGGAGTTCTAATCATAAATTCATATTATTCCTTATTATAATGAATGATTGGAATATAAAATGAAAACAAAAAACAGAAAAAAAAAAATTTCCTTTTATTCCTGAATTTTTACTTTTTATTTTTATATTTTGTTTTTCACTTGTATCACGTATTCTACAAGGATCTTTTACATTTTTTCTCAATTTTTTCTTATTTTGTTTTGCTTTCCTATACATAAATATTATGTTTTCTCTTTTTGACATACAAACTCATTATATACATTTTCATATATTGTACATAATAAGGTCCTATTGCGTATATAGAGAATAATATGAAAACAAATGAGAAAAAAAAAATAAAAGCAAATAAAAATTTAATGAAATCACAAAAGTGTTAAGTGATTTTATAAAGAACAAAATATAAAAACAAAAAAAAAACATATTGAAAATGTTAAACAGGAAAATTTATTTTATAATCTCACTTCCTGCGGTTTTTTTTTTATTTTGTCTTCTTAATTGTTATTTGAATAACGTCTGCAAAGGATGCAAATTAGAATTTTTGTTTTTTTTTTTTATAAAAAGAAAAGAAGAAAAATACAAAACCTATATGATTTTTTTTTTCTTGTTTCAATTTTAACAATGATGACGAAATTTCATAATCAAAGTAAAGAAAAAATTGAATACTTTTAATCCCTTATCTTGATTTTAAAAATATCTGAATTCTTTTAATTCAGAAACGAAATATTATTTGTGTTAATAGTCTAGTTTTAACAATGAATTGAGAAATTTTGAAAAATTAACAAAAAAGACTCTTTATACTTCTTGAAATTGTTCTTCGTATAGAATTCAATAAGCACATTATATAATATTTCCTCTTGCTCTCAGATGTCTGAACGTTATTCATTTTTAGCTGATTTTTATTAAGTGGGTGAAACAATGATCATTAATTTAAGTTTCGAATGGTTTTTCTTCGTGTTGCATGACTCTTGGAATTCCTCTTCCATTTACTTTTTCAACTTCCAAATAAATAATTAAGCAATTAAAATCGAAAGTGGGTTACCAATATATCCAGAAAGTTTTTCTGATAATCTCTATTCTCTAGCAGCAAATACCTATCTTAGCCACACTCCTTCCGAGGTTTTTCTGATTCTTTAGTACACACCACAATTTCGAAATTTATTTAACACTAAATAACACTAATAATTTCAATTTAAATTGAAATAAAAAATATTTCTCTGTTTGAAAATAAAATCAATAAAGAAGCTTTAAACAAAAATTTCATTGATTCGAAAGTATATATGTATGTATGTATGTACATGTACAAATAATTAATGAAAAATATATTGGCTACACGTGGATCACTTTTCTAACCCATAAACATGTCATATTCAATCCGTCTAATACGTAAAAAGTAGCGAGCATAATTTTCACCTTAACAATGGAAATTATTAATATAATCTAATGTACATGAAATATAATTCAAATCATACAAATATAACAGTTATGTGTATGCACATAAATCTTTTGAAAATTTTAATTCTATCATGTCATTAACCTCAATACTTTCTCTTCAAATCTTTTCAATGATATCAAACATCATTATTCTCTGTCATAAATTTTTACTGCACTGTTTTGTCATTATGATTGGAAATTATTAAAATTTACATATTATATGAATAATATTGTTAAGCCTTCTATAACTATGACAATTATAATACTTATTTACCTATACACACAGATATACGTACAGAGTTGTTTATAATAAATTCAAAAAAAAAAAAACCATTTAATTTGTAGCATCAGATAAAGTACACTATAATTAGTTTTCTCTGTACACACAGATTATATCAAAATTGACGTGTTATATTGGTACTTAATTTCATATAGTTGATTTTAATAAAATAAACCAAAACAAATAATTTCTCATTTTAATATTATTGAATAGAGAAAATTATAATTGAATTTTTAAAATATATTTTTAGTGTGAAAATTTCATAGTATATTAAAACATCTTTCCGGTATCGGACAATTTCAAAATAAAAAAGTACCTTATATGATTAATTATTCGCAAAACAATTATGAGTGAATTAATATTTATAACAATTCTAGTTAATTATAATTTAATAATATATTTAACACAATATTTATAACAATTGTTTTTTTTTTTTTTTAGATATCAAATGCATTAATTTTAATTAATAAATCATCAGTGCAATGTTATTCCCGGAACAATATGAAATCGCATGATTTCCATAAATTTATCAGAAATATACAATCAGATATTAATAATTATGAAAATGAAATACCTAATTTAGGATATTTACCAATTTTTGCTCAATTAAATTATAATAATTCTTCATATAAATCTGTACCAGTAACAACAACCACAACACCAGAAGATACAGTAATAAATGAGACTGAAACTTCAACGAATTTCTCATCAATTTCAACAACAGAAAAATTAGTCACTATGTCACATATTACTACCAACAGTAATCCTAATATAAATATAACAAATGAAATTCTTACACTACAATCTAGTATGAATAATTTTCTTTTAACAATGATAAATTTTATTACATCTGAGAATAATACAATATCTTCAACAATTTCAACAATAAATTCAACTATTTCGCCAATATTAGCATCTAATGAAAATTCAAATTTAATGCAAAGAATGATTAGTTCTAATTTAATAACATCTACATTTAGTAGTGTTACATTTGCTCCAATAAATTCAACAGCAAGTTTAGCTACAGTTACAGTTTCTTCCCTTACTTTAGGACCACTAATATCAACATTAGCTGCAGCGGCAGTAGCAGATAGTTCAACAACTCCAAATTCACCTGTTACAACTAGTAAAACAACACTTAATACGTCACCAACTACTAATCCGACAGTTTTATCAACTTCTTCAAGTATGGCACCGAATACTGTAGTAACTACAGCTTTAACCAGTACACCGAATATTACCTCATCTCTTGGAACAACAACATCTATGCCCTTAACTACTATAAAAACTTCGGTTGCTACAACACCTGGACCTTCAACTTCACAAACAACTTCAGTTAATACTACAACATTGAACTCGAATGCGACCCAGTCAACACCAACTACTCCTGCTGCAATAACGACAGCAGCAATCCCTCCAACTACTTTAACACAAGCAACTACTTCTAAACCTCTTGTTACTACTCAAAAATCACTAACTTCAACAATAACCACACCTTCTCCCGTTCTTACCACGAAGGTTATAACAACGTCAACAACAGCGAGTACTGCGAATTTAACAACACCCATAACAATCGGAAGTCCTTTTACATTTTCGAAATTATAAAATTTTAAGTATGCAAGTATTAATTAATGAAATTGTTTTGTACATACAATGATTGTAATAAAATTTGAATAAATTGAAGTAGATAAGTTTTAAATGGAAAAAAAAAATATAATACAAACTTAGAAACTTTATCTTAAAAACTCCCAGAGAAGATAGCACATTTCGCAGTTTACGTAATGCATTCTGTGAATCAACAAAAAAAATATTAAAAAATTACTGACCACATCGTATACAATAAGGGAGATCATGTACCAAATTTCGGATGTTGTGTTTTGGGCGGCAATACACTTCTCTGTGGTAGGGAAACCTAAATAAAGTTATTTTCGAAAGATGTCTGTTTTTCGGTTGCTCTGTCTGTCAGTCTGTGCAGATCAGTATCTCAAGTTAGACCGTACCGATTTTCATAAGAATTTTTATCTAAATTTGCATAGGTCACGGATTGATCAACTTGTACAATATGTTAGGTGTCGCGGACTGAATTTTTATTACAGGCCGATTCGACATTTTTGCCTATATTTAAGAAAACATTCAGCGTATTTTCCTGAAAAATTAAAAGCTTTTTTCATCACAGAGCTTTCGTGTTCAAAACTCGACATCTCAAATTCGCTGTGATTACATAACCTTCCTTACCGTATTAAATGCGGTCAGTAAATAAAGTGATAGTTTATTTTTCGATATGATGAAATGGGAAATTTTAATTAAAAAATTTCACTTTAATTAAATTATTTTGTAACATCGTAACAAAATATAATTTTCTTATTAAAAGTAAATAAACAATTTTCTAATAAATATTTTGATGATAAATAAAAAATCAAACTATTTATGTTTGTTAATATTTTTTATAAGGAAAGCAGTCAATAATTTAAAATGTTAGGTAAAAATTTTTTTTTAAATAAATATTATCGATTAAATACAATGAAGTAATTTGTTAATTGAAATGAAACAAATTTTTAATTTTTGGTTTTTTCCTAATTGTGAATATTGTAATCAGTAATTTTTCAATTCTTAAATTGAAATAAGGTTTATGAAAAGCTGCTTGCTTCAAAATAGGTACCTTACAATAACTTGTTTGCAAATATATGAATAATAAATTTGATCCAGTCAATCCTCGAAAATCTAAATAATTATTTTTTAATATGGTTAAAATTTTCCGCATTCAATTATGATTGTCGAACCAATTGAGATATAATTCACAATTGAGATAGTCGAATTTTTCATAAAATATTCAATTTAATTTTACACAATCTAAAAATTAATCCAATTTAGAATTTAAATATGGCACTTGTGAAATAAATACTGTCGCATATCGAAAATTTACGGTACTCAAAGTATTATGGTAAAATCATGTGGACTCCATGAAAATGAAGCAAAAGAAGACTCACTTTGTATTTTCATTACCTAATATATTTACCCTATTTTTGTATTTTGACAGTGTTTTTTTAAAGGTGCGAATTTATAGAGTAAAATAATTATACAGGCAGTAGCTACTCGTTTATGATTTACTGATGTTTTTCTGATACACAAAATTAATTTTGTTGATAATAATCTTTATTTTTTAAAAATAATTAAACAAATTTTTTGTCATTCAAATATTTTTAGAAAATCCCCAAAAAAAAAAATATTTAGAAATTAAAACTTTTATACTGTGTATAATAAAATAACTAAATAACTTTATACAATATAGAATTCATTAGAACAAAAGAAAGTTTTTAATTAATCTGTTGAAATTCAACTAATTTCTCGTTTTATGTATTTTGACTTTTTACCAAAAAAAAAGTTTTACCACGAGTATTGTTTGCGTATTTAATTTACATATATAAAATTAAAAGTATATTTTATGGTTTTTCTAACTGGTATACGTATATAAAGTTTCGTATATGCTTGCATGTATGTGAGAGAAGATTTATAAGCGCGTCGAAAACGCGACATAAAAGTTATAAAATTGTTTTGCTAAATTGAAAATTAACAAAAGAATATTTTATTCGATATTTTTGTTTTATTTATTAAATTATTTTCAACTATATAGAAATAAATTCACCATGATTCATTGTTATTTGTACACTTTATACTTTTACACTCAATTTTGCAAAAAAACTTATCCAGAACGAATTCGTTATTTCATTCTTTCATAATCAGTGCTTGTTTAAGAATATTTATTTTTTGAATAAAAATTTAGTAATATTTAATCGAATTGTCAAACGTACAACATTCATACATTTAAGTTGTAAATTATAATAGATTTTGAATGATCTAATTTCTCTGAGAGCATTGTATTGGCAAAACGTTACAACAGTGGCATTTAATGAGAACAAATTATTATAGTCAAGACACAAACCTTTGCAATCTACGTATTGTACTTTCATACTAAACATATGAAATGAAATTTAATTTATTTCTACACATTTTATTCCGAAATTATATGATGTCAATGGAATTTTTTCGTACTTAAATTTTGTAATACATAAATCTGCCTTAATAATATTCGAGTATAATATTATTAAAGAATAAAATAGAAAGAAAATTATAAAAAATAAATTACTTTATACACATTTATGCACAGGGTTTACTTTGTTTATATTTACTACACTTCATGTATTTCCTGTGGTTTTCAAATTTTTAATTATTAACAAAACTTCGACCACATTATGACCTTGTCCACGCAATCCGACACCGCTAAATAATATAGCTTACAGGTAAACTTGAAATCAATTTTTATTATTAACTGCAATTTTCCTGAGAACATTAGGGTCTTTCAGTTGATTGTTTTAAGAGGCAGGCTTCAGTTTCAAAAGTCATTGGGTAAATTAAGCGGTAACCAACCTGCCGTAGTTTTTCTTTATAATAAATATTGAAGATTTTATTAATAAATATTTATTGTTAATTTTCATTGACATTTAATATCGAATATTATGAATACTCTGACCAGATTTGATGCCGAAATCCTTCAGTTCAAAGACTGGTACCATAAAAACTACACTGTTAGTTAGATATTGAATGTTTAATTGGCTCCTAATACTCCAAACGAAATATCTTAAAAATGTACTTTAAAATCTGACTATTCGAATAAGCCACTTAAAATTTAAGGGTGATGCCAATGAAAATTGACTAGAATTGATTTGTCGATTTAATTAAAAAATTACATGCAAATTTTTTGAAATCACCCCTTATTTTTTTACACTTTTATCTTTATAAATCCAAATTATTCTATTAAAATCAAATTTATAATAAGATCATTTTAGAAAAAATTAAAATCTATTTGGGTTGCATATATAGACATAAATGTATATATATGTTTACATATTTAGAAAATTTAATTAATTAATTAGAACTTTTTATACAGAAATGATGTGTTTGCAGTCGTAGCCGATTTCAAACAAACAAAACTATAAAAGTTTTAAAGAAAACAATTTTTTTTTTATACGTGACCAAATCGTATAACTACACAAATACCTATATAGACCTGAACATTTTATAATTTTAAAATTTATACGATTACAATTTAAATTATACACCATTTTAAACGCATATATAATAAATTTCAATTTATTATTTTTATAAAATTAAAATCTACAAAAAAAAATAAAAATAACAGCAAATTTTTTTTTTTTCTGTTTTAAATTGAAACTAATTTATGCAAGTTTTAAAGGCATCATAAATAAAAATTTTTCTGTTTATATACAATTTACCAAATAATAATAATAATAATATAGAAACAATGTATTTATATTTTAAAATTTTATGCCTAATGCTCTAAAATTAAATTTATAACCTACTATTCATTCTATTAGTCGTTTATTAGAGAGAAAGAATTTTGTACTAAAATAATTTAAAAATTTTATAATATAGCCGCGTGTATATTCAACAGGCCAATAGCCATTGGTACAATGTGTATAACAGTATATATAACATTAAAATGACATTAAAATGAGCTGAAGTATGAAGTGATATTCTTTGTATATATGTATATGAATTTTAAAATGATTTTAATTACAATATTACTAATTAGAATAATATTAGTCACAATAAGATAAAAGTGTTAAAACAACAATATTATAAAACGCCATTTGAATTTCATTTTTATTCTTGGGTTTTTTTTTTATTTTTTTATATTCAATTTAATTTTGCTTCAATTTAAAATACACCTATTTTGGGTTTTAATAATAAAAAAAAAATTAAATAAAGAAGAGAAAAAAAAACCTAATTACATTTTTATCCATACTTTTTTATTTTATTATTTTTATTTTTTTTTGTTATTTTATTCTACCGTAATAAAACTACAGGCTAGAATTAAATTTCTCTTAGTTCATTTCAATGTTGTGAGTCGTTCTGTTCGGTTCCATTTTAAACAAAAATTTAAAATATTATTTTGGAAATTTTACCCAAAAATAAAAAATAATTTAAAAATGTACGGATTCACGGTTTTTACATTGATATTATGTGTTACAAGTGTAAGTGAATAAGAAAATATAAAATGTTTTTAATGTTCATTAATGTGTTGAATTTTAATGGTTATTTAAGCTAAAAAACAAAACAAGTTTAAAAAATTTTAATAATTGTAATTTTATTAAAATTAAATTTTCAACTCATAAAAGGACTGCGACTACACATATACTTAGTAATTTTTGTGTCGTATAATTTGAAGACAACGAATTCTATTATAAATTCTGCATTAACCAATACCGGCAACCGTCTGTATATTAGTCAAAATTTGATCAATAGGGTACTTGTATATAAACCATGAAGAAATTAAGAGATTGTCTGCATTACTATCCAATTTCGTATTCTCGTATACGAATATAGATTGTCCGTATTATTTCCCAAATACTCGTATCCTCCAAATACTTAATTCTGCTACTTCTGAATAATATTATAAATCTGAAATGAAAATATGCATTATATTATTTATTATTAATATCACAAATTAGATAGCCAGATCTACTTAAAAAAATTAAAATTTTGTAGAATAATATTTATAAAATAATGCAAGAGAAACTTACCGGTAACATAAACTCGATTAAAACAATTACAATTTCAGTTTTCTATTTATTTTATTTAAGAAATTATAATTTTTGAATATTTTGATTAATTATTAAAGAATATTACAAAAAAAGGGAATATTATATTTATATAACAAGTGCGTGTCACTAATCACCTTGACAATACACTATAACAAATTCAGATATATACATAAATTAATTTCCGCGTGGTCGTTGAATAATAATTACAGTAAAATAATCAATAATAATTATATCAGTCCTTTCTAATAAAAAAATAAAGAAATTTATTAAAAATTTGTCAATAATTATTCAATAAAATAGTAAAGTTGAAGTTTTATGTTAAATTTTAATCAATTTCATTAGAAATATTCTCATTATCGTATTCAATACAAAATCCGGAAAAAACATAAAATTTTATTTAGTATTCATGTAGTGTCAAATTAATTTAACATATTTGCGAATAAAGTTTTACGATAATTTACCATTTAATCTTGAATAAATTTTTAAAATCAGGTATGGTAAAAAAAATAAAAGATTATGCACATTCCGTTAATATTAAACCAATAGGTTTCTGTACTTAATTCTACTTTATTCTGGTTACTTATTGTTTTACGTCAATAAGTTTTTAAAATCAATAAATTTAACTTAATCAAGTTCACTAGCTGACCTAAAACCAAAACCAATAACTAATTTTGAATTTAAATCAAAACATTGAAAAAAGTCTTTAAAAAAAAAAAATATAAAAGTTTTAAAATTAATTTTATAATTAAGTTTTAGAATATGCTTTAATAAAGAAAAATGACTAAAATAAATAATTATATAGGTAAATTAAATCGTATTGTGCAAAGAGCAAATCGGAATCATTCAAGCAAAAACTTATGTTTATAATTTGAAAAAACAAAATTTTAAACAAAAAAAAAATTCTTCCACTTGAGAAGTTCTAGTATTGATTAAAATGATTGAAAGGAAATTATATTCAACTCATTTCTGTATATACAAAAGCATTGTATAGAAAATAATAGTTAGAACAAGTGTATTCGATAAACATTTGTCAGAAGAGTTTAAAAGAATTTTGATATTGGTACGTTTTGTGTTTTCGAATCAAGTCTTCTTTGGCGTTTATAGACTCTGAAAAATCTTTATAACATTTGTTCCAGAAAATTTTTAATAAGACGAAAAAAGATTCGAACAAGTAGTACATTCAGAAAGCTCTCATTTTTTCAGTATACCAAAAGTTTCGGAGAATTACAGAATAAAATTTAGTGACATGCTATATCTAGCGCTGCAATCAAAATTAAATTGTTTTTTGTACTCATATGAATGTTTAAACAATCTAGAACAATCAATTCTAGGTGATTTTATGTCAGCTTATCAAGTCAATAATTATAATTGAATTTAATTACCACATTATGCTATCAAAATCTTTTTTACTTGTATTACATTTCATTTCAAATTTCCGATTATACCCTAAACGGAAATCTACAGTGACAATTAATAAAATATAAAAAATTAGTTTAAATCATTTTTAAACACGAATTATTTAATTAAATTTATAAACATTATAAATGACCATGAATTTTATAAATTCATCAGAATTATAGGAAAAAAAAATTAATTATTTTAGAATGCGCGCAATGATAATTTCTTCATTCATAAAATAAAAATTTACAATAATGTACACTAATTCTCAAAACGGGGTCATATAATTATTAAAAAAATAAATATAGTTGTTGAGCTTTAATATTACAACAAAAACAATTCAATAAATGCACAATTTATATTCACAATTTCTATTTACAATTTTAAAATTACAATTTAATTGTGTGTACTTGTAAATAAATGACACCCATAAAATAAATTTAAACAATTATTCTACATTATTATTATAGGTATTATGTGCACCACCGAATTGCTCAAAACCACCACCAGAAGTTACAGCTCAGGTATTTTAATATACCTAAAATATTATATTTAATAGTGTTAATTTATAATTTTAAAAATTCATAAAAAAAAAATTATAGAAAATACGTCAGTGTTGTAATGGACCACCAATTGATAAAATTATGAAAGAAACCTATGGTGATCAATGTAAAATGGGACCTCCAAAAGGTACAACATCTGGTACAATATCCTCATCATCATCAGCACCAGCTGCAGCAGCAACAAGTGCCGCATCTACTACAGCAGCTTCATCAAGTACATTAGCTAATACTGCAGCAAGTTCAACTGCTGCAGCAACTTCAACAAATAAAACACCAGGATCATCATCAGCTCCAGCATCAGGTTCACCGACAAGTTCATCAACTGGTAAACCTGCAGGATTTAAACCTTCCGCAGCAGCATCAGTATATAATTAAATACTAGATATGGAAATAATTTTTAATATTAAATATTTTTTCTATTTATTTTATATGCATATATAGTGTTCAGCTGAATGCATGTTGAATCAAACTCATGTATTTGCTAACGGAGAATATAATAAAGCAAATGCAAATACATTCCTTCATGATGTTATTAAAGATGATGATTTTACAGATATTTTACAAAAAGCTATGGAAGAATGCTCAGATAAAAGTAATATGAAAAATATTTTATTTTGGAAAAATTTTATTAATGTTGTTCTTCTTTGTTCTTGTAGGCAAATCAACAGCTAAAACATTCGAGGATCCCAATGGAAAATGTAATCCATTCTCAAGTATATATTTGCATTGTGTTACTGAACATGCTAATCAAAAATGCCCAGAAAGTCGATGGTTACAAACGACAACTTGTAATAAAGTTCGAAGTTACATTACAGCATGTGGCGTTCCAAATTTTTAATAATTAAATAAGGAAAACGGAATTTTAAATATACAGTTATGTTATATTTCATAAATGTTAATTTTTATAAAGTTGCAAATTTGAAAATCAAGAACCTCTTTAAGTTTTAGAAAAAAAAAATGGCAGTATTTACATTGAGTGTTTGTTTACTTTTTTTTTTATTTTATTATATTATTGTTTAATATCAAATAAATTTATAAATTATTTACAATAAAATTTAAAAAATTACAATAAAATTTCGAGATTTTATAAAATATTTTTTAAGTTGCAATTTTCCAACGTTAATATTCATATAACTAATACAGAAAGCTGATTAGATAGCATTTAAGATCAAAACAAAAAATTAAAAGTGGAAATATGTTCTAAAATTTTCAATTAATTCAACTAAAACTCATCTTTAACCATAATCAACACAGCTGCTCTCGAACCTGCAATTATTTAAAGCTCTTCTTAGATTCGTAGATTCCAAGGGAATCGAGCCGGGTGAAAAGACATATCTCCCGGGTCACCGCAGTCATTCGCGACTTATTGTAGCCTTCCATGCTCGCGCCTGTAATATTCCTATTCCATTTTTGAGCAGCAAAACTAGAAATATCCCCTAGAAAAATAGACGGTAGTGTCCGATACAATTGCGTCACCGGACAGGAAGTACCGAATAATCGTAAAGAATGTTAGCGGCGATCTCGGCACCGTTTGTCTAGTCACAACTAGTTGTTCGATTTCCCCACCTCAAGCAGATGGTATTTTACTGGAAAGTTAGATTATCTATTAGTCACGAAATATCTCAAACCCGGTTTCTTTCCCAACAAATTATATAAAAAATTATACTTATCCAAATGCACTAAACCTTATTCATATATAACACAAATATTTCCTAAAATTAAAATCTTTAGCTCAAACTGATTATACATACTATATTTCTCACATCAGGAAACTATTTGAATGCAAAATGATTTCACATATCTACTGAACTATACAAAACACATAAATAAATTTATCTCATAAAATACAATCTGCATAAAAATATGCTAATTTTTTAAATATTTCTAAGAAAATAAAACACCGGCTTTGAAATAAATTTTGCAATTTTTGTGTTTAATAAAACAATTCACTTCATATACTCGTATAGATAATCTAACGGAAAAGTATAGTTTTATGCATATTATAATTAACTTCCGACAATATTTGCCATAATGGTGTTATTTATATAGTACAAGTATATAAAATGTGATTCATAGATATAAAATTAAAATTATTGAGCAAAGACAGTCTATATATAGAAAACCTTGAAAATGATTAAAAACTGCAAAATTAAGTTTAAAATCTTTAATATATGCACATAATGTATGTATTAATTTTGCATTTTATATTGTTAATTAAACCTCTCTTCATCACTTTTATATGCGGTAATTCAAAAACAAAATTAATACTTTAATTTACTAGCAGCTTGCTATTTTAATATTGCAAGTACAAGGTTTGTGTATATGCTTTAGTTTATTATTAATAAACACCACCAAAATTTAATTGAAATGATTTATTTTAGGTCGAAATACAGAAGAAAATAAAGCTGTACTCAATAGAATATAATTGGAACTGTGTATTGAAAATGAATTTTATGGTATATTCCTCTTGTCACCTTGTTTCCTCGGAAAAGTTTTGCATCACAGATCCGACGCCATGGAGCTGCAATTTCATTCGATAATTAAAATTTTTTTACTCCTTGGCCCATATACATTTCTAATCTCGTAGACACATCATACTACATACTTTAAGAAAATTTACTTTTAAGAATATGTACTCGTTGTAATTTAATTATTAGAAAAAATTGCATATTTATAGGAGTAGTAAATTCTGTCTCTGTAAATCATAATATTATTTAACGTCTTTGGCAAAATTATCAATGGAAACTTACTTTATATATAAAGTAAAAAACATAAAAAAAAAACTCATCATAAAATTTTATATAAATAAATAAATAATCAATTTTCTTTATCAAGATCATTTGAAAATGTTGCACATTTTTTTAAAAAATCATTTGCATTATTACAAACAAAATCATTTCTCCATTTATCACCTGGACAATTTATAAATGTTTCAGCTTGAACGCATGCAACCATCATTGTACTATATGGACTGCACATATCATGTTGTAAATAATGATGTATTGATGATGGTGGTCCTCTTTTATCTAAGACATCTTTAACTGCGAATATTAAAAAAAAAAAAACAAGAAAGAATAGAAAATGTTTAGAATATTTGAACTTAGATTTATTCAATTTATGAACATTATTCAAAAATTTTTGATATTTCCATTATTAAATGTAATAATTTTTCTAGAAAATCAAATAATTTTCATAAATCACTAAAACAAGAAACTATTATAGAAGATCATAAACTATTTATCAGTGAACTAATCTCGTAAATTATTTCAGTCTTGTTAAAAAACAACACAACATACATACATGCATTTAATTTCAAAATCTTAATTGGTATTAATTGAATTATTTCTTATTTTAAAAAGCTTATATATAATATATGGTATCCAATTTATTTATAAAATATTTAATTTAATTAAAAAAAAATATATGTATATATTTACCTTCTGATGAACATTTTTCAAATGCAATTTCCATAATTGGCAAAAATTCTTGGCTATTCTCCAATACTTTTGATAAAAATGTTCTGATATTCGTTTGATGAATTTCACGGTCGTGATCAAAGATATTTGTTGCATTGAAAATGCATTCAACAAAACACTATTTTTAATATATAGGAAATTAAAATTAAAATTAAAATACATACATATATAAAATAAATTTTAAAATATAAAGAAATTTTTTTTTTCCAATTCAATGTTTTTTTTATAATTTAAGTGGGTTAAAGTTAAATTTAATTAAATATATAGAAAAAATATTTATTATGGTTATTGTTTATAACTGACTTAAAATAGGAGAAATTATAATTGTGGTGAAAATATTTGGTGTGGTGAATAGAAAGAAATAGTAATGGTAAATTAAACAGTTAGGTTTAGTAGTTTTCAATTCTATTCATAATTCGATTTCTTTATAGTTTACCTTACTATATATTGGCAAATATCTCAAAACAAAGAGCTTACTTAGGAGTTATGGACAAAAATATAAAAAATTTCGAATTTTCTTTTCAAATATTAAGTCAAAATTTTTAAATTTCATTGGCTATCAGCACGTAAATTGGTCAACATAATAATTAAATTATTTTCGTAAATTATTTTCAAATATTTAGTGAGCTTAAAATCAGTTCTAAGTTAGTAATTTGACCGTTAAATTTTTCTCGTTCCGTGATTCATGTAAGAATTTTTTATATATTTCTTCTTCAAGCTTAATAATTAATAATTATTAATACAATAATTCCCAGTCTAAAATTTTAATTCTTATTTGCTAAATTTCTCATAAAACAAAATCTTCTAGTTTAGAAGATTTGAAAATTTAAGAACCTACCACCATACACTTTAACATATGAACATATACATACTTATACTTACAATGTAATTTAATTGAAATATCATTGACACTTATATACTAAATTAACTATTATTATAAGTACAAATATAACAATTGTTAATATTGTTGAATTACAATGACCTTGTCCTTTTAATATTTTACTTGTATAATGACCTTAAATTAAAAGTTCAAAAACTATAAAACAGAAAATTTTTGCTATTATGATCTTACTATATATACCATAATTTTTACCCCTGATCATTTCTTTAAAAATATTATTGTGATTTATTTACAAATATTATATATATATATATATATATAGATATGTAATATGTAATATTTATGTAAATATTTGTACATACATATATATGTATGTACATAAATTTTTCAACCTAAATTGAATTTATTTATATTTTATATTCATGTAGGTGTGATATATATAAAATATATGTACACATATACATACGAATATATTTATTTATCAACACGCGATTAAAATTAATAAGCATATATATGCTAAAAAATATTAATAAAAAAAAAAAATTGCTCACAACAATCATTTTTTTATTAATTATACATTTATGTATGTTTTTCACAAATTAGTTGGAAAACAAAAATTTGTAATAATATATTATTTGTATGAGAAATTATCGTAGTTATTATAAATGTTAAAAATTAAAAGTAAAATTCATAAAATCAAAGGTTAAAATTATAATTTACAAACATACATTTATTATTTATATATATATGCATACATATGTATATATGTGTACTAATATGGGGTGTGTATAGGTGTCTGTACTAGTTTTAAATATTAAAAAAAAAATTAATCTTAAATTAATATTGATTTTAGTGTTAAAAGAATAATATACAATAAAATATTTTAACAATAGTTAAGTAAGTATGTAAATATATTATTTATTTATAAAAGTAGAAAATGATTGAAAATTTCAAAATAATTTCAAGTACAAAAATATTTGTATTTGCATTTTAAATAATAATCTTAAATATTTTGTATACACAATTGAATTATTAAGCAATAATATTTTAATTCGCTAAAAATATAAAAAATTTCTAAAAATTTTTCTATATTTTTAAGATTTTTCGAAAAAAAATCGTGAAAATCCAGAAGAAATTGGCTATTTTATTGCCTACCTCTAGGGGGTGTTGAGTTCAGAGTCTGTGTACAATAATTTGAAAATTTTAATTCTATTATTAATTAAACTTTTACAAAACTTGTTAAATGATCACTTTAAAAATTATTTTCTTGTATAGGATATGAATACGCTATAAAAGCTTGCCAATTTGAAATTTATTTAAAAATTTAAAAAATTTATTTCGGAAATGTTAACAAGGAAGATTTCTTCATACAACTCCAGAACAAATGGATTACATATTATCAATTGAACAAGTCAATTAATTGAATTTATTATTAAATTTTATTGAATTGAATCAAATTTTGTATTATATAAAGAAATAAATCTAATGAGAGAGCAATTCATTGCTTTGATTTTCGATATTCCACCGAAAATATACAGAAACTTTAATATTATTAAAATATAGTAAACTATTATAAATAAACTGAAAGAAATTGATATATATCAAAAATAATTGATATATGTGTCATAATCTTGGTGAAAAATATTCTTAATCTTATTTAAACACAAAACTTAACTAAAAAATAATGAAATATTTTACAAAATTTTTAAATTTATTTAAATAAAGTATAATACCATTATATATTATTATAAATTATCAAATTAATAATATACTTGTTTAATCATCAGTAGTAAGTATTATGAAAATAATAAAAATGGTAATCACATTGTCATATTACATTTATAATATGCGTAACCAGTAATAGTAAATGTTAAAATTATTTTAGTTTAAATTTGAATATTTTATTAACATATGACTGAAATATATGTATAAATTTATCCGGTATTATAATTACGATATGTACGATATATAAATATACGATATCATGAGCTCTTTTCCAATTGTCAATTAAAAATCCAATTGAGCAATTAAGAATATTGTTAAAACTATTTTACAAATTAATTTTACTATGCGATCTAAAACCAATAATCAATATAATTCTAATATAGTAATCAGTAATTTGTAATACCATAGTATTTTATAAAAATTCTAAAAATTTTTGAGTAAAACTATCAATATTTTTTTACATTCATTTCTCATAAATTATTTTCAATTTTATTTAGCAAAATTTCTTTTAACTTCAACTTCAGTATTTTATACATTTATATGCATAGACAATATGTGGCATCTTAAAGTAATCTTAAATTAATTTATATACATATATATATGTATACATATTCACATATATTATATTATATATACACATAATATAAAATTAACCCGTTTTTAATCGATAATATAAATATAAAGAAAACATTAACAATTATATAATTATAAAATAATTCCATATTTAACACGATAGATTAGGTAATATAGATTTATTCAGGTTATTCTGATTTCTCATATTGTTATACATGAATATATATACATTATATATATTGTTATATCGGTTGTTATGATACTTGTTTCTTCATTATCATTATCACGAATTTTTAGAATACCTTGAATACTTTTTTTTTTTATTTCATTTTTATTTTTAATTTAGAATTTAATAAAAAGCATTTGTATATTTTGTATTATAATAGCAGTTATAATTCTTGTTATTTATTATATAAGTAATAAAATTAAATTACTAATAAATATTGTTTAAGATAATAAAATGAATTAAAATAAAAGAAAAATAAATAAACTATTCTACGGAAAACATAAAATGTGCATTCATAAATTAAATATTTTGTATTCAACGAATTCAACTTTCAAAATCAAAAAAACAAAGAAAAACATAGAGAAACAATAAAAAATTAGTAAAAAAAAAAATAATACAAATTTCTATTGAAAAAATGAATAGAAAATTAAATGAACTACAAAAATAATGAAAACACACAAAACAAAAAAAACAGTGACAAAAACCCATACACAAACATAAAATAAAAATAAAAGTAAAAAAAAAGACTTACTGGTGATAATGAAAACTTTCCGGAACCTCTTTGAAATTCAGTACAATTAGCACCTAATTTATCACTAATAATATCGGGTATAGGACAACAATCTCGAATATCCTATATATATGCATATACATATTTAATATATATACACATACAAATGAAAAGAAATGCAATAAAAATTTAATTGTGGTTTTTGGTTTTTTCTACAAATTTTTTTTTTAAATCTTAATTTTATTTATTTATTTATGCTTTGATATTTTTTTTTTGTTTTGATTAATTTATGCAAATGATAAAGGCATTTAAAGTACATACATACATACACATATATGTACATGTTATATATGCACAAATTAATTTTTGTGACAAATAATTATAATTTGAGACGAACACACACAGAGCACTAACAGCCTGATTCAAAAATTTTTACCGGTAAATCTCTTAAGCCGAATTCTGTAATTACTTAAAAATATTGTTACCTAGTTTATAAAATAACAATTATTGATCGTAATTTAATTTTCCCGTCTTATAAATTTTGGGGCATTAATGATAACACATAACATAATTGGGGCATTAATGAAAAAAAAATTATAATGAAAGCTATTACATTGATTTTATTGATTTACAAATTATGATTTGCTAAAAAACAAAACGTTTTTATTTATTACAAAATTAAAATGCATATCTCTTAATATAAGCTCATTTACTCAAAATATATTATTAGACATTTAGACTGCAAATGCTCTAGAGTGACTCTCATTTAAAATTTTAAACAAAATTTTTAATTGCACTTACCATATTTGGTGGTGGTAGTGCACAATTTATCTCTTTAGATGCAATAAATTTACTCTGAAAATATAAATTTACAAACAATAAATAAAAACAACACAAAACGATAAAAAGAAAACATGAAAACAAAAGAAGAAGAGGTTAAAACAAAGAAATAATAAAAATGAAAAAAAAATGTAATTCGTGAGCGTAAACCTCGAAAATTTTCATCAAAATTCTACAACATAATAAACAAAATGTAATTTTTATAAACAGTGTTGGAACTTTCATTTATAAAATTCATCTACAAAAATTAATTAAAATTTTCTGTTTTTTTTTACAAAATTAATTTAATAAATTAGTTTTTAATAGTATAGTGAGTCTAGTATAACTATTTTGAAAATAATTGTTGATAATTATAGAATAAAAATTGAAAATAATTAATTATTAAATTAAAATACATAATTAAAATTTCACGTTCATGTCATTATGCTCTTAATAATTTTGATCTCATTACAATTTTAAGGACAATGGGGCGGAACTTATAAATTCTCTTCAAACAAAATATTTATAATTTTAACATTAATTTCTTGTAAAAATTAGAAATTCATCATACTATTGTTATATTTTTTAAATAATTAAAATTTCACTAAAATTATTTTATAAATTCATTATTAAAAAATAAAATTATCATACAAGATTTTGGCCATAATAAAATTTATATAATAAAGATATTAAATTTTTTTTTCAAAAAGACTTCAAATTACAATAAATTTAATTAATTTTATAATTAATTAAATTAATATTATTAAATATAAATCTTTTATATTTTTAATTTTATTCTTTTATTTATTTTCTTTTATTCTTTTATATAATAATAACAGGCAAATATAATACATAGTTCCGCATTTCACTTTCACATCACGAAATTTAAACAAATAAATTCAACATCTTTATCTTATTTATGTTATTTTTAAACACTTTCATTGCCATTCTTATAGCTTTAAAAATTAAGCTAAAATAAAAATATTTCGCTAACAAAACAAGTTAATACATAGTCTACTATGAATATTATACATACTATATAAATTAAAGTTGAAAAATTATTTATTTAATTTATTGCAAATATTATTTTAATATTATATTTTAAATTAGATTTTATTATGTCTAAATACAACATGAATATAATCAATAATTAAAATCAAAATGATATGAAGCTAGTTATTACAAATGATAACATACAAGATCTGAATTACTGATATTGCTAGCATGGCGTATTAATTGGATTAATTATACCTACTTATGATTATTTAAATTATGTATATGCATATTTAATTACTGTATATGAAATATTTAATTTCAAATCACATTAATTCTATCTAGTATGCATTTTTGAGCCTAGATTATTTAGTAAATATAATAAATTCAATTGATTTTTTTTTTAAATAAATTATATATTTTAACATATAGTATGGAAGAAGTTATAACTCATTCATACATTCATTCATACATAGAAGTTATTCTCATTCTAGATATATATTTTTTCGTATGTATATACATTTAAAAATTTTCAAAGCTCTATTGAAACATAAATGTTATATACTTCAAAAAAATATTGTTATAATGTATATGCTACTTATTCAAATAATAGAAAATCAAATGCAATATATTATTATGAAATATTTTATATACAAGTATTTAATGTTAATTTAAACAAAATTCATATCCAAATATTGAGATATATTTTGTGAAGAGTAAGTACACATATGTACACCCTTCCACTGTCAATCTTGTTTAAAATAAAACTGTTTTTATAATAAATATTTCTAATTTAAACCGATTTAAACCAAATTTATAATTTTATTATATTTTCTTTTTAATACTGTTATAACCGGTAGTAATTGATTAGTTTTATGAGTCTTTTAAAATTTCGTATTAAAAATGTCAATATAATAAATATTTTTTTTATATAATATTTTATGTTAATATAAACTTGAATTTATAATTCACCTTATATATACTACATCTCTATACTTAGTATATGTATATTTGTTCAAATATAACAAATATTTGTATATTTGTTATATTTGATAATTTTATTTAAATTTTTTTATTTTTCTTAATTTTAAATTTTATATAATATGACCTCTAAGTTTTATTTGTTTTTAAAAAAAACAATATTATTGGTAGGTAAAAATTTTTTAACACAAAATCTGTTATACTACTCACTTATAAACCAATCATATATAAAAATATAAAGTTCCATCACTGATAAAAATTAAATATACATAATATACTCTCTTATTGCATATTATACATGCAAACACATATGTACGAACACACATATAAATTATATTTTGCATAATTGCAATGCAATATACATTTCATTTACTTACTTTCAATAAAATGAAGTAAATTACTAAAATTTGTATCACCGTTAGTATTTTATTCATTATTGTATTTTTTTTTTTTATTTTTTTATTATAATTGTTGTTTTCTTTTAAATCAATTTGTATACAAAAATTGAAAGTTCTTATTAAAAAATTTTACAAAATTTTTAATTGAAAATTTTTTTTTTTTTTAGTTTAAAATTAAAAATTGTTAAAACAAAAAAATAATGTAGGTTTATAATTGCATATAAGTAATTTTTTTTTTCAAATTCAAAATTAAAAATTTTTTCTTTATTTATTTTACTTTTTTTTTTAATGAAAATTTAATAAAACACTTTAATAATAACTGTCGTCTACCGTACTGTACATAAGTCGTTTGCCATCTATATAAAAATATTTTAAATATTGCCGTCTACATACAATATGTAACGCATATGTTATTGTTATTGTTATTGTTATTATTATTATTTATCGTTATAATTTTCTTTATTTTTTTTTTGTGTTGTTTTACTATTATTATTTTATCGTTGTCTATACTGTTATTTTGTTGCTTATTATAATTTTGTATTGACTTGCTATCTATTTAGTGTTGAATATAAAATGTTAATTGTTCTAGCCGTGACATCAAACTAAATATATTTTGCTTGTTAATGGTTAGTTTTGTCAAGTTAAGTTATTTTATTATGTTATTTTTTTGTTTTTTTTTTTTTTGGTTTTTTTTTTTGTTACTTATTTCTTTTCTATAGTATATTTTCATGCACTACATCTGGCATATTTTATATTATGTATATATACACATTCATAATATACGAATCTTATTTTTAAAGCAGATATTTGTTAAAATTGTAAATTTATGATAAGAATTGATTGGTTTTCTTAAATTAGATTATATCCTTGTAATAAACTCTTCGTAAATAAAAATATACCGTTATGATATATTATAATAAACAAAAATGATATCATTGATAAAAGCTTAACATATAAGGCTTTTTCATATCGTGATATATAGCGAAAAAGACATTGTGATATATAGTGAAAACTATACGCTATATTTGTATTCATAAACAAATTTTGCTAAATTAATTTGTTCATAAACATTTCTAATGTTTCGCAATAATATAGTGAAATCAACTTGAGTAGCGTAGTTATAAAATATATTGCATATTCATCAAGTTATTAGTAATTCGCAAGATTGCATTTATAAAAATCTCTATATCATTATAATTAGCAACCCTGTATATCATTTGAAAATCGCAAATTAATATGCGATCAAGTTTTGATCACATATTCATGTTTTGAGGAAACGATCCCTCCATAGTTTTCAAAAATATCACAATTTTCGAAAACATGTGGGTGTTATACTATTTTTTCATACAAAATATCTGTCATACAAAAATTAATGATGGCCACTATAATATTAATTTATTATTATCGTAATTGTTATCGTAAGTAGATATTCATTCTAACCGAATTTAATCCTTTCCTTATATTTCATTGCTTTAAATAATTTGTTTTCTTTCATTTTTTTTGTTTTTAACTTTTAATTTGTATGATTTTAAGCTCCGAAAAAATGTTTAAAACTTTTGTGATGTGCTATCATGTGTATTTTAATTTTTTTTTTTTTTTTTTTTTCATTTGTGTTTTCTTTTTGTTTTTTTGTTTTATTTTTTCTTAATTTTATTGTTATACTTATATTGTTATTGTTGTTGTTTGTGAAGAGTAACTTGCTACTCTTCCAGTAATATTTTAATTTTTTTTCCGTAAAAAAAAAAATTGAAAAAAAAAAAATAAATAACATAAATGACATAAAAACCAAAATCGCTCAACCGAGTTTTAACAAAATACAAAACAAAAAAAAAAAAACAATAATAACAATGATAATAATAAAGTTAAAAGAAAAAGAAATAAAAAGCTGAAGGAAAGTCACTGATGGATAATTGTGCTTACTTAAGGATACTTTTTGCCTCTTGCATCTAAAATTTAAAATTGATTTATTGAAGAAATACACAAGTTGTGATACAAGTCAAATATTTAATCTATTATTATAATAGCTATTTATTTTTCTTAGTTTTTTTTAAAATCGAATATTAGGAATATTTGAAAATTACTTGTATAATATTTTTATTAGTATTGTATATTAAGTTATAATAATATTGAATATAATTTTTATAGTGACCTGACCGGGGTTTGAACCCGAGACCCTTCGGTTAAAGGACCGGTGCCATAACCACTGCACCAATGTTTTTTTAATAACCTCAAATAATTAATATATAAAGAAAAACTACGGCAGGCTAGTCACCTACCTAGTTAAACCCTATGACGCTATGAAACTAGTGCATGAGAAATCATTAACTAGCCCTATGCTCCTTCTAGGAGTGAACAAAGGAAAAAAAAAAAAAAAAAATTATTATAATAGCAGAATTCTTTTCTTAATTATATAAAAAATAATTATTCCTTACAAATATTTCATTAATTATAAGATTATTTTATACTTAATTTCTTTAAAAATTTTATTTTATTCATTACTTTCGTTTTTATAACAACAAATAATTTTACACAGCTTCCTAAAAGCTACAATTTTAAATAATTTATTTAATTTATTTAAATAAATTCTATTTTAAAATAATATTTTATTTATTTTATAATTGTCACATGTAAAAATAAATAAGTAAAAATAAAATTAATTCACAATAGTATTAAATCCGAAAATGTCAGCAGCTATTTATAATTAAATAGTAATTATGTATTGTTTTTATTAATAAGTCGATGTATTTAGATATAAATAAATTAAAGATAATATTTTACCGAGTCCATTTAAGAAAAATACGTTTTCATAAAATTTAATAAATTTTCATGTAATCTCAACAAAAATGGTAATTCATGAAATCATTCATTTGTACATGCAAATAAATTTATTTCAATTTAATTTTATACTTTTATCATTTTAGGTAACAAATTGAGAAAAGAAATTCAATTAAAAAATTCTTAATGTGATTTGAAGATAATAGATTTTCATATGTGTTAATTTGTTAAAATGTCTGAAACATATATAATTATACTTATATAATTTGAAAATAAATTAACCATTGAATCATTTTTTAATCCAATAAGATCACTTTTGAACCAAAGGCCATTTGCTTGCTTAAATGGACAGATCACTTCTCAAAAAAAAAAAAAAAATTTGCAGTATTAAAACTGCTTCATATTTTCCTATCAATGTCAATAGAATTTAAAAATTATGAATTGTAACACGATATCGAAAACTTCGCTCATAAAATGTTGCTAGCCTAAACATGCGTAATTTTACGCAATATAAGAAAATTACTATGGGAAATGCAATTAAATCATATGAACTGTTTTACTTTTATAGAATAGTTAAAAATATATTGCGTATTAATCATGTTATGTTTTTTGCAGTATTGCGTCTCGCATTTATTTGCATTATTGAAAATCTCTAATATATTAGACAAAAAAGGAAACGATTCGTAATATAGTGTATTATAAACTTAAGTGTTAAAACATTATAAATTATAAAAATTAATTTTGCGTGAATATGAAAATTAAGTTATTATAATAACTTTACTAATATAAATTTAAATACATACATATACATACATACATATTTAGGTATATGCACGCTTTAATATTGATATTTACTATGCGTCATTCGCATTAATTTATATTATTTTGTTTTTTTATTCTTTTTGTTTTTTTTTATTTATTTCTGTATTTTATATTATATTTGCTTTTTTCTTTGAAAATGTTAATTCATGTTATTATATAAAAATTAAACGAAAAAGAGTTTATTTTATTTATTTTATTTATTTATATATTATACATATACATACACATTCACATATACATATATTATATATTTCTCTTCATATTTTATTTAATTTTTTTTTTTTAAATTAATGTATATATACATATATATATATAGTGTATCTCAATATTGCTCATATCATCTTGATATAATTTTAGTTTACTATATAATTAAGGTCATGGGAAACTTTTATTGAAATAACAAAAAAGTTGAACAAACTATACAGAAAGTAATAAGCTTAAATGAAAATTGAAGTACGATAACTATATGTATACATATATGTAAATATATATATGTATATTAAAATCATTCTAGTTGATTCAATTACATAATATGTATATAAAAAATATTATGTTTGCTATTCTTAAATATTTAGAATATTTATAATTAAAATTTTAATTTGAAATAAAATCAAAATGATTTAAATTTTCTCTCTTTTGAAAAAGAATGTGTAATGTCAATTATTCAGAAACTAAATGTAATATTAATGATTGTACAAATTATATATTCATTAAAATCTTTTAAAGTCTGATAAGTTTTCCTTCAAATACAAACTACATGCAACTTAGTTTGTTACTCCTATACTATAAGTGACATAAATAATCAGCAATACAGCAATGAAAATGTTATATAAAATACTTTCCTGATTCAAAAAGAAATAAATTTAAAAGTGGGAATTATTCGTCATTTTTATGTTAATTATAAAACACGAACGATTCCCACTTTATTTCTCAAAATCAAATTCGATAATCAATTGAAAAAATTCGATAAACAATTTAAATTATTCCATGGTTTTATTATATTTTTCTGGTTGTAAAAGAAAAAAAAGTTATAATATACTAAAAATTAGTCATTCATTTTCTTAATATAAATAGCATATTTATATAAATTTTAATTATAATAATAAGACATTAATTATCATATCGATATAAATATTATTTTATAACATATAGAGTGACCAATGTGTTTTAAATTACATAATATTACATACATTTATACATATTATACATTTTAATCTCTTTATAATAAAAAAATATTATAAAATATTATTTTAATTATAATTTACATTAAATAGTCTTTTATACTTAATAATGACATTAATTTTGATTAAATGTTTAATCTAACTAAAAAGTTTCTCTTCCAAGTCTTTTGTTGTGCTCTCTAAATGAACTGAATTCAGTTTTATACAAAAAATTTTTAAATATTTATTAAACTTTTTTTGCTCATACTCAAAAGAAATTGTAAGGAATTCAAAAAAAATAAATAATTGAATTTTAATAAATGAATATGAGGTGACATTAAAAGTGTTTTATTGTTATCAAAATTAAAATACTTAAGTGTAACATAAAAAGAAAATGGATATATAAAACGTTATACATATATATCATATAAATAGTATATTTATTAAAAATACGAAAAAAAATAATAATATTAATTCGAAATCCCTTTAACATAAACAGTACATACATAAAGAAGAACATGCGTTTTAAAAACTAAAAAATTTTAAAAAACTTAATTTTACTTTACAAAACTTGAAAAAACTTTAATGATTGAAAAAGTATTATCTCAGCCCAGCCGCTTTTCATAAAAAAACTTTATAAAGTTTCTTTCAATTTTTGTAAAGTTTTTAAAAACTTTCTTATACCAGACAACCTATTAACTATTACATATACAACTTTTTCAGCTGAATTTTAGGTATATTCCAAAACTAAAAAAATTCAAAATGTGATATTGCAACTTTGGGTAGAAAATGCAGTTCTTATAGTTAGAACTTCAAAACTTTCAAATTTTTATGGTACAAATTAAATGTAGAGCTTTTAAAGCTTTGCTGATGAAAAACTTGAACTATATATTCATCTGCATTTGTTACATGGTACCAATTTATTAACGCATCGAAACTCAAATGCGCATGAGTTTTGCGATGAGTTTTTTTACATTTTAGGGTCCCTGTTTTAACAACATCCATAAACCTTTACAGTGAGAGCTGATTGTCTCTTGAGAATTGGTTCGAGACAAAATCGGATCATGGGTACAAGTACCAAAGATCTAAGGGTTTTGCACCTCGAATACTCGTCGATGGGACGAGTATTTGAGTGTACAATAATTTTTTGTCCATAATCAATTACTATAATTTGTCAACAAATGTAAAAATACATACATACATATGTCAAATAATTAAAATTATATTCTATTTTGTAAGTCGTATAAGTTTTAACTATTCCTTGTTAATAAAAGTGGATATCCACTAAAAATATTGTAGTAATTTAATTTCGTACATTTGAGGAAGTGCCATGCAAACAAAAATATCGATTTTAACTAATTCCAATGAATTCACGTATTTAGTTTTTTTTTCTACCAAAAAATATTTTTAAAAGAAAAAAAAGTAAATACAAAAACTTGGTAGAATTATGCCAAGAACATATATGTATGTGTGCGTTTTCGCTTCAACTGCCAACCAATAGTTAAATATTTTTTAACTCAAATAATTAGTTATCAAACCAGTTTAGTTTTCCATGTTGTGTGTAAAAGTAAAATTAAAAATAAATTTTATTCAGACGACAAGACATTGAGTGGAAATTTACTTTAAGTCATTCTATTTTTCTTTGTAATATACGTTGCTATCTCTACTTTTAAATTGACATCTTACTTTCAAAATGACGTTTATTGTGTCATTGGAATTTTCTATCCTTTCCACATAAATATTTCATAAACGTAGGACGTGTGTGAAACTGTTTTAAAATATTTAAAAGTAAGTAAATTAGATTTCCTATTTAATTATTAAATCTATAGAATGTGACAAAATAATACTATTTAAAATAAAAGAAATTCATTTTAAAAAGTTGTTTTTGTTGATGATATACACGTGCGTAAAATAAACCTTGTTTTTGAGGTTATATGACCGCACGCTTTGTAATGAAACAAAACTAATTTTAATTAATTTTAGGTTTCAAAAATGACAACAGCAACTATCCGTACTCGTAAATTTATGACCAATAGATTATTATGCAGAAAACAAATGGTCTGCGATGTTTTACATCCAGGTTTATCTTCTGTTAATAAAAAAGAAATCAGAGAAAAATTAGCTACAATGTACAAAGTCACTCCTGATGTTGTATTCTGTTTTGGTTTTAGAACTAATTTTGGCGGCGGAAGATCAACTGGTTTTGCTTTAATTTACGATTCCCCAGATTATGCCAAGAAATTTGAACCTAAACATCGTTTGGCGCGTCATGGTCTCTATGAGAAGAAACAACAAACAAGAAAACAACGTAAAGAACGTAAGAACAGAATGAAGAAAGTCCGTGGTACGAAGAAAGCGAAAGTTGGACAAGCTACCAAAAAATAAGTTAAAATCAGGATTATTTTTTTTAATTATAAATTTCAAAATAGTATATATTTCATTATGAATAAACTACTGTTTTGAAAACAATCAAATTTTTTTTTGACAAATTATGCATTTAATATACGTATAACGTATTTCATACATGGATTTGTACGAAAAGTTTAAAAGCATTAAATGAACAATAATAAGGGTATCAAAGAGGACATGCCAACGATACAACCAAAAATATTTCAAGTTTTGAATGCAAAATCTATGTGCTAGCTCTGGTATTCAACTGAGATGCCTAACTATGTTGGACAAAAATGTTTTCTAGGTATATGACAGTAAAACTATAAACCTAATTTCAGCACCCCCCTCATTAAAATTCACTAAAAGTAACTAAACAATGTCCTTTTAATTATTTCGACAGTTTTTATTTTAAAATTATAGGATTTTCATGCATAGCAACCTTACATTAATATGATTATTGTTATCAATTACTCTAATGTAATACAATGTGCATAATTTGGATTAATGCATTCAAATATGTGCAATACTACTCGAATTTACATTTATTTTAACCTTGACCTTCTACTACCAGGGTTCAATTTTCGATACATAATGGGTATAACAGGTGATCTCATACCTAAAATAAAATATTCTATTATTGTTTTAAAAAAAACAGGTGGATTAGTTTGAAGCAAGCATTATATAGATTTTATTTTACTGTTTTCCCGCTTCGTGCAAGAAGTGAGTTTATGATGGTTTTTTGTTCTTTGCTTCAGGTCACACATATATGATGTATTCAATTTTCTTCGAATCCCATATGAACGAATCTTTATCCACTTAGTGCATTTAAAGCCGTCTTGAACCAGAGTAATGCTCTCACGTTTTATTGTAGCACCGAAAAATCATTAGCAAAAATAGAAGTGCAAAAACAGTACGAAATTGTGATAACATTGTGGTAACACTATTGAGCTGCCATATTTTATCCCAATTGACACTGACAGTATGCTTCAATAAAAATTAAGAAAAAAAGAAAAACAATTAGCAGTTTAGCACTATCTTGTGATAAGGAATAATTTGCGATTTTATTTAAACTTGTTATAATATAAAAAGGAGAAAATTTAATATAAAATAAAATAATTTAAGTAATGTTTTAAGGAAGGTAATTAATTCAAATGTTTAAACCGAATTTGCTATCACGAACGTTTAAAGGTAAATATGCAAAATTTCTATTAATAGATTTAAAATTTAACCTACTTCTAATCAATCATGATGAACCTACTTTTAATCAATCGTTCCTTAAAATTGTTCTTCTGCTTTTGGTTCTGATATATCATAAAATATATGAAACTAATTATTTAGACTGACAAATAACTTTTAAAATTGAACTTAGAAGTAACTTTAAATATATAGGTAGATATATAAATTCGCTTATATTTAACTATGTATGTAGATTGCAATCAGACCTCACCATTTATGGAATTTCTTATCACATGTGCTATTTTTTGTTCTAAAATAATTTTTTAGTTATAATCTGAAATGAAGCTTTCAACAAAAATTTTAAAATTCCACTTGAGTACAGCTCCTTTTTTAAATTAATGTAAAATAAGTGAATAGGTGTCTATCTATATTCATACATTCATATGTAGGTTTGTATCTATTTAACAGCACAGAATAAACACAATTTACAAACAAGGAAAAATATAGAAGCTATAATATTAAATATGTTAAATTTTTTTTTCAGTTTGTGAAGTTTTCCGAAGAAATTTTACGGATTTACCACCAAAAAATTTTAAAATAGAACGTGCCTTATTGGTGACAAAGTTATCTAGATATGAGTTTGAGCGTTTGCGCAACCCAAAACTCTCTGAAACTGAATTAGAAAAAACTTTAAGAAGCCGAGGAACTGACTATGACACTTTAATATTTCTACATAATCTACATAAGAATTTTGAGCATAGAGTTGCAAAAAACTTTAAAAATGCGGGCGTTGAAGTGAAGCTAATAAATAGGTAAATATAATTGCAACTTATTAATTTTATTTACCCATCAATATATGTATAACAAAAATTTGTAAATTGGAACATTGACGCTTGTCTTAAATCATTTGGAACTTTAGCATTTCTAAATTGAAAAATTTCTTTTAATTACTTTTATTTTATTTTGAAACTTTCGTGTATAAAAAATAAAAATGTTGGTGATTTTCTTTTGTACTTTACAATATTTAATTTAATTTTTCTTTTGTGCTATTTTTATTTTTCCTCTTCCCTTCCTCATTGATTTTTTTTTCTCAACTCGTTCATTGAAAACTTTAAACAAAAAAATTAAAACAGAGTCGAATTTAGGACTAGTTTAGAAAAAGAAACACTGAAATGGGCTGACGTTCTTATCCCAATTGGTGGCGATGGAACATTTTTACTATCGGCAAACCGTGCAAGTCCTTTATTTGCAAAAGGAAAACATAAAACACCAATTGTTGGTTTCAACTCTGATCCAGAAAGATCGGAAGGAAGACTCATGCTTCGTAAACAATATTCTGAAAATGTGGAGGAAGCTGTTAAGAGAATAATAAAGGTAAAATCCGTACATGATATATAAACTTATTATTTTCTTTATAAATTTTTGTTGTAGGGTGATTTTAAATGGATGCAACGTTCAAGGATTCGCGCAACTCTTTTGGGAAATAATGGAGAAATTCCTGAATCAGTAGATTTGCACGGTCATGCTGTTTCTCGTATGGAACAAGAAGAAACCCGTCCAGAGTACTTAAGCCCTGAATTCGCTCTCAAATATCGAGCAAAAATGAAAAGAATTCTACCTTATTTAGCTTTGAATGAAGTATATTTAAAAAAATAAATTTCACTTAATTTTATATTTTTAATAAATTCTAATTTATGTCTCAGGTTTTCATTGGTGAGACAATGTCTGCTCGTGTGTCTCATTTACAAGTTGTTTTAAATCACTCCGATGTAGTAAATAAAACAAAATGTTCTGGACTATGTGTCAGCACCGGAACAGGCTCCACATCATGGCATACAAGGTTAGAAACCAACAATATCTACTCCGCGTATAACAAGTTAGTAATATATTCCCTGGGTTGTTAATTTCTATTATTGTTTAATTATTTTTCAAAATGGATGCTTTTTTTTTTGCTGATTAACGTTATTTAATTTCTTAAACAGATCTGATATATGTCCAAGATGAAAAGCTTGTCATCGTTTTAAAAATATATTGTAAAAGTTATAAAGAATTCTACACAAAATCCAGTATCTATATTTCAATGAAATAATATTCATCTAACAAAAAAAAAAGCGATTCTTATCAAATTGCTATTCAAACAGTGCAAAGACGTTAATATTTTTACCCCCTTCGTAGTGTGATAAGAGATTTTGTTGTTTATGTGTATATACCTATACGCTATATATGAATAAAAATAGATACATGTTACACTTATATATTTTCCAAACTTATTCTATAAGTAAACGGTTGTCCTTCAAAAATAATTGCGTTTTTGCAAATTGTTTTGTTGTTTGTAGCTAAATAAACTACAATATTTCGCCATATTAATATGTATTACTAACTTTATTTTAAGTTTTTAACGCAATGAAAAACTCGAATTGCAAAATATTTTGTTTAATTTGCTTGGTTTACATTTTTATTTCAATTTTATTTTAATATTATTGAAATTTATGATTTTATGTTATTTTTTTAGCATTAATCGTATTACAAATCAGCATATTGAAGATTTAAAGCAAGTTTTACCACAACTCAAAGAAATGAATGTTAATGTTGGAGAAGTAGTAGAAAAATACAATCAAAATTTAATATTTCCAGCTGGTATGTTAAAAAATTTTACAATATAATATAAATTTCAGTTGATATTTTTAAAAAATTTTTAGATGATCCAAGACTTTGTTATTCAGTTAGAGAACAAATTTGTGTTGGAGTATGGCCTAGTCCAAAAGAATTTCCATCAAAAAATTTTGTTGATAATATTGTTGTTAAATCGCGATGCATTGATGCATGTAAGTTTTAGATCCAAAAATTTGATTTTATTAAAAAATTAAGTAATCAATTTCGTTTCTTGAGCGATGTTTTAAATCAGTAATATTTATTTTATTTTCTGATTTACATTTGAATTTTTTTTTTATTTAATTCATCCACATTTATTCTGCTTTCAAGATATATTTGATCGTAATACATAAGACTTTCTAATATCAATAACAAATGTAATCCTAACAGGAATACAGTTGTTAAAACTAATTTTATTATAGTTAAATAATCAGAATTCAGTTTAAGAGAATCATATATAATTTCAAAAGCGTTATTGAAAAATGATACAGCAGCATGTACATTCCATAATAAACCCATAAATAAACATATTTTAAACTTGGCATTCTGAAAATAACTTGATCAAAATTTATCAATCATGAATTACTTATATGTACATATATTCATAATTAAATTTATGTATATCACCTTAAAAAGAATTGGAAGTATCATTAAACTTGAAAAAAGAAAATTAAAAAAACAGAATAATAAGCCAAATGAAGCAGTGGTAAGATTTTTGGTTATTTCAATTCCAATTTTTTCAGCATACTTCTTATCAGTATCTACGAAATCGTTTTTAAAAATATTTTGTTAAATCTCTTGAAATCAAATATAAAAATGTTAAGTATACTTAATATGTCATTAGGGAGCCATTGTAACTCTTCCTGTTTATATAAAATTAAAAAAATTACATAATTGTATATTATTAAAACTGCTACTGGTAGTGATTTATCATATCCTTTTGAATGCTAAAACTTGTAATTTTTTAATAAAGTTTTTATTTTTAAATATTTACTTACATTTTTGAAAAGCATTGTATTCGTAAGAATTGTTTTGAATTTAAAATCAATGATATAAATTCAATTTTTTGTAAAAAAAGAAACAAATAGAATTGTTACTTTGTATTTATATACATATGTTAAATTCAAAATAGTAAATATATATAATTAATTATTTTTCATTTCTTAAAAGGCCTAGTGATTGATGGAAGCATTGCATACCCTTTTAATGATGGAGCAAAAGTTTTACTGGAAAATCATCCTGAAGATGCCTTGCTTACAATTTCATTAGACTAAATTTACAATATTAAAAAATATCTTATATAAATGGTGTTTATATCATAACTAATTATTATTGTGCATTTACTTCCTTATTATATTAGAAGTTATAATTTAAGATTTTATTTTTAATTTATTTTGAAAAGCAGAGCTTAAGTGATAAAATTTTAACGAATAAGAAAATAAAGTAACAATTTTATTTTGTACATTTGATTTAATTGTTTTGATTTTCAATTAGCTAAGATTTCATTTTGTTTTTTATCTTAACATATTTTGGTAATTTTTTAATTTTGTGCTTTTCTTCTTCATTTGTCCTTTTCGTTTCAGTTTTCTTCGGTTTTAATTTCTTTTCAAAACGTTCTGTATCTATTGTCTTAAAACGTTCGTCTTCAATCAATTCCGATGGTTTCTTTGACTGCTCCATTTGTGCTCTCCTTTCTTTTTGTTTTTGTTTCACTTTTTTTAGCTTTTCCTTCTGTTTTTTCTTATACCTAAAGTTTTAAATATATTTCTTTAAATTTATTGAAATTTTTTAACTTACTGTTCTCTTTATTGAAGATTAACTTACTGTTCCTCCATAAAATCTGGATCTAAACCTTCTAAAATCCATTTTTTTCTTCGATATACATGAGCCCTTTCATCAAAATCTTTATTATCCAACGTAATTTCATTTTCCCTCCGAGCTACATTAACTTGCATAAATATCCTTTCAACTAAGCGTTCTTTAAATTGAAGAATATTAATTTGATATTGTAAACTACTAAAATATCAACTTACGATCGACAGGATGTTCCGTTAATTTAGTATTAATTTCAGCTTCAATTTCACCTAAAAGCTCTAAATCGCGAGGAAATCGAAATATTGAAATCGAAAGTCCAGAACGGCCCGCCCTGGCAGTGCGCCCAACTCTGTGAATTTTATTAATTGCATATAAAGTACGTAATAAACCAAAGAAATGAGTAAGTGTGATATAAATATTTTACCTGTGAATATATTCCTTTGCTTGTCTAGGTAAACGATGGTTTATTACTAATTGAACATTAGGAATATCCAATCCTCTTGCGGCAACTACAGACATATTAAAATTTTATTCTGAAAAGGTATTAATCTAATATCATTTTTATAATTTACCATCTGTTGCAATTAGAGTTCTAACATGCTTAGATTTAAATTTATTTAATGCTGCAACCCTTTCTTTTTGCCTCATAAAACCATGCAAGCAAACATTATCTTGTCCTAGACTGTTAAGCGTCATTGATAAAAGTTGACAATACCTAAAAAAAATTCATTAAATTTGTCTGATTCCTTAATACAAAATAATTTTACGTACTTTTTAGTGCTTGTAAAAATCATCACGTTAGCTTCTTCATTGTCTTCCCTATATTTTCTCAAAACTTCCACTAACACCATGTCTCGATCATATTCTGCACAAAGTACATATCTTTGATCTAAGGTTTCTACAGTTGCTATTTCACTTTCTTCCGTCCACTCAAAAACATTATTGTTTAAAGGGAAAATACTTGACTCTTTAATAAAATCTTTTAGTGTTGCAGAAAAAAATAAATTTTGTCTATCTTTTGGTAAAAAATTACGTATTGTTGATAAACTTTCATCAAAATCCCCATTTAACATTCTATCGGCCTCATCCACGACCAAAAACTTCAGTGAATCAAAAGAAAATGTAGCACAACCAGTTAATTGATCTGCTAAACGACCAGGCATAGCAACAACTATATGTGGCCTAGCCATTAAATTTTGACTTTCAATCATTTGATCGGTTCCACCAGCAACAACACACACTCTAACCCCCATTGGCTGCCCAGCAACTTGAAATTGTTCTGATATTTGATAAGCCAACTCATGAGTAGGTGTTAGAACTAATGCAAAATATGCAACAGGTTCTTCACTTAGTTTTTGTAAAATTGGTAATGCAAATGCAAACGTTTTTCCAGATCCAGTTTTAGCAGCTCCTAGACAATCATCTCCATTTAATATTTTTGGAATACATTCTTTTTGAATAGGTGTAGGCGCTTTTAATCCTGAAATTCTCCGATTATTAGAAAATTTAGTTTATATTTAAAAAAATTTATTTTTACCAAGTTTTTTTATTTGTTTTATTAACCAATGTGTTATTCCTAAGTTTTTAAATGCTTCTTCGGGCTTTAATGAGGTCATTTGAAAAATATAAATTTTTCTGCTTATTATTAATGAAGATTAATAAAAATATTTACAACTATAATTTATAAGTGTATATTTACATTTTCGACAATTTCACATGTGGTGTTTTGACAATTTTGCATCACAGCTTATCATGTTTACATATTTGTGATTTCTCACTGGTTCGTGCCCAGAATAAAAAAAAAATTGAATTAAAGGGGTAGTTTACATATCAGATTGACAATTTTCATCATACTTAGATTGAAATTTAAATTTTAAATGATAATATTAATAATGAATAATATTACCTAAAAAATATGAGATTATTATAATATTCATTATAAATTATATATAATTAGTACCTTTATGCCATTTAAATTATCAAAAAAGCTTATATAGTAATATTTTTGTAATAAGTTCAAAACTTGATTTTCATCGAGCTGAATTCTTTAATATAAAAATTAATTGTTGGAATGAAAACTCAGAACAACGTAAACACGTAAATTTTCAAATAAAAAAACAATAAATAAATTTTTGTACACATGTACACATGTAATGTACTTAATTTTACTTCGCAAAGGTGCAAATTACAAAAAGCATCTGGCCAGCCCTTTAAAAAGAAACACAAGTTTTTAACGGAATACTTTTGACGTTAGTCAAAATAAATTTAAGAATGAAAGCTATGAAAGTAGCTATTGTTGAATTTTAAATTTCGAAGTGGTTTTGGCTTTAGTAGTTAAATAATTTTTTTTTGAAGATTTTTCTAAAAATTTTCGAGGTATTTTTTTTAATATCTCTTTTATATTTCGGGTGCAAATAATTTAAAAATGATGAATGAAAATGGAAAAAACCTGGCCGAAAAAGCAATGGACCTGTCTTTAGGTAGGTAATTAGGTTGAATATTTATAGCCTATCAACATGTGTAGTTTGCATGTTTTAAAATAAAAAATTTTTAAATACGTTTATGAATTTTAATGCTTTCAGATGAGTACATAAAACAAAGTAACATTTATGTTTCACCAATGTTAAAACAACCAAAAATTGAATCTAATAATTCTAATAAAACACAAAAAAATAATTTACGAAATGGTGCAAATAAATTTACAGAGAGTGATGAGATAGAAGAAATGGAAGAAGATTTTCTGTGTATTCAAGATGATGATATGTTTTTAGAAAAAAATATTGATTTAAGAGAGAAACTCAATGGAAATTCAACATCAGACAATAATCTTCCTAAAGCTAAATCAGCAAGTTGGCGTTTAATGCACCCTAATGTTACAACCGAGAACCGACCGGCAGGGATGGCACCACTTATTCCTACTGAAATTTTAAATGGATTGGAATTGTACAAATCAAATCAAAGAAAAAATATTGTTCAGGAAAACTTTTACGCAAAGCCTGAATTTTCTTATCAAAATAATCATAAATACTATAATCAAAATGTTTATAAACGTATTTATCAAAATAGAAGACAAAACCATTTAAGCTATAACAATCATTATCGCAATACTTCACAAAATTTTAACAATATGTATCAAAAGAATAATTCAATACCTTACAACAACTATAACAGGCAGCATCCAAATAACAATCAAAACAGGTAAGTAAATTGAAAAATAAAATGTGATTTTCAAAGATAATGTTAAACCATTTAGGAGAAAAAATGAAGGTTGTTAAATATTGTATAAGACAATTTGACCTTTTGAGTTATTTGTTGCGCTAAGCCACCAAATTAAGTTAGGCCAAAGATAGATAGTGTATATCTTACTGTATTGTATAATATCTTGTATTACGTTTTTTCCTTTCTCTTTTTTAATTTTTGCTATTATTTTCTCTTCAAACAGGACATTGAATGGTTTGTCCTGTAATTTTCGGAGGATGATTGATGGAAATTATGCAAAAGAGATAAATGTACAATCGGATGTAACGAAAAATAATACATGTTTCAATGAAAATTTACAAAATGTTCAATCAACGATGTTAAAACCTCAGCATCCACCAATTGTTTACGACCCATCACCAGCAGAACTGTTTTTAAAAAATGGTCTTAATGTTTTAAATAATTTGTCTGGCAACAATGGTATACCACAAATAGCATCAAAGCTTTTAGAAATAATTGGTACTTCTTCGAAACCTGAGCCAAAATATGATATGAAGATTCAAAAGGAAATTCATGCTCTACAAGTATTTTTTTTTTATTTTCCTATTTTGTATATAATATTGCAAGTATTTATTTTAGAATAAGCCTATGATATATCGGTGTCCTGATGGAGAAGTTATTAGTTCAGATGGTCCTGGAATTCGTGACGTACCTGTTAAACCAAGCTCTACAGGCATTACTCTAAATCAAAGATTTGCCTAAATTTACTCACATAAGTTGTAATTTTTTTTTTTTTTTTGCTTGAAGCGAAAAATTGAATTATCGATTTGTAAGGAAATTTTATACTTAAAGTTGTCGAAATTCTAAATTTAAGTTGTTTTTTAATTTAAGCGGATTTTTTTTTTTATTCTTTTTGACAATATTCTGTACATAGTTTATTATAGCGGAAGTCTAATTTAGTTTTTTCAGTGCTTTTTTTTAAATTAAAATTTTATCAAATAACTTTATACCTTAAAATTTTTAATGACCAGATACTTTATCTAAATAAAAGTACATTTTACTGGAATAAACAATAATTGATTAATAAAATAATAAAAAAGATGTTAATTGAATTGAGATGTTAATTGCATTGATTAATAATAGTTTTAGTTGATTAGCAATTTCAATTTGAAAACTTAAAATTTCAATCAAATTAAAGAATCAAATTACAGATTACGAAATTAAGAAGTTATTCTTTAAGCATTTTTCGTCATTTTGTATTTGATTCACTTATTATTAGCTAAAGAAGTGTACGTCTATGTAAATTGGATATTGAATTATGATTTATATCAGTTTGATGCAACTAAAACAATTTAAATTTTTAAAATTTAACGATTGCCGCAACATCTGTTTTATTCAAGAATTTTTTATATCCTAAATAAAACAAATAAAACGATATGTAAGATAAATTAACGATAAAATAAAATTGATTTAAACGTCAGCTGATTGGATACCTGTTTGCCTCTTATAATGTAGTTTATATTTCTCTTTTACGTCTTTTCCGTGTAACTTCAATTAAATTCATAAAATTTATAAATTAATCCTTGTTTACCATTCTTTTTAAAATATGTTACTGAAAAGAAATATTTAAAACTAATAATGTAGCAAAAAAAAAAATTTTTAAATGATATTAAAATTAAATTTTGGCATAAAAAAAGTATCCAAAGATTACGTACATATTTTTGTAAAAACAGAAACTAAAATATAATATGGAGGGTGTAGAATTAAGTTTCGAAGCTTTAATTGGTTCATTTTTGGCCCTTTTATTATTATTTTTTTTCTGTAGAAGTTTATTAATTGAAAATGTTGTTTATATACCAGGAAAAAAACGTCATGGTTGGAAACCAGTTCGAATACTTGAAAGAGTAAGTAAATGACTTTTTAGAGGTTTCTTTAAAATACTATATAAAATTGGTTATTTTTAGGCTTGTTATTGTTCCGTTTGTGAAATGCTATTACCACCATCTACAGGGTTATTTTGTGATTCATGTGGTGTATGTTCCCATCCAAGTTGTACAAAAAAAGCTGACAGTAATTTTAAATGTAAAGAAAAATATTTGAAGAATGAAAAATCAATAATACACTTATGGGTAAAAGGAAATCTTCCATTACATTCTGAATGCTTTGAATGTCATGAAGATATTGAGTCTTCAATTATAAATGGTCTTGTGGGTTATCGATGTTGCTGGTGCCAAAGAACATTCCATAATAACTGTTATAAAAAATTTGATATAAATTCTGAATGTGATTTTGGTGAATTTAAAGATATGATATATCCACCAAATTGTATATTGGCTGCACGAACGAGGGGTGCTATAAAATTACATTTAACTGGCATTAAGCCACCCAACATAGAAAATTGGAAACCTTTAATTGTTATAGCAAATACAAAATCTGGAAGTAATACAGCATCGGATGTTGTCGCTCTTCTTAGAGGAATTTTACATCCGTTACAAGTAATGGAATTAGGTAGACGCGGACCAGCTGATGCATTGCAATGGTAAATATAGTTCCCAAACTAGAAAGAATTTAATATTTGAATAGATGAATAAAGCTATATTTTAGGGCTGCTGTAACAGGGCCAAGAGCTTGTAGAATATTAATAGCTGGAGGCGATGGCACTATTGGATGGGTTCTAAATACAATTTTTTCCTTGGAAATAAAAGTAATTTCAAAAGTTGAAAATATTTTGTTTATTTATATTTATATAAGTAAATACATAATTTGAATATATTAAAGCCAATTCCTGAAGTGGCAATAATACCTCTTGGTACTGGAAACGACTTGTCAAGGGTGTTGGGATGGGGCTCGGAACCGCCAACTGAATTAAATCCAACACAAATTTTAAGAAATGTAAGATTTATGCATAAGAATTAAGCAATTATTCAATCAATATTGTCGATTATTTTTAGATTCGATGTGCAAAATCAGTTAGTTTAGATCGTTTTATCATGGAAGTCGAAGTATTGAAATACAGACTACCAATTCATAAACCTCCAATCAAAACTATTTACATGTATAGCTACTTCAGTATCGGTGTTGATGCTCTTGTTACTTACAATTTTCATAAAACACGAGAGTCAAAATTCTATTTATTAAGTAGCCGAATATTTAACAAGGTAAACTTTATTCAAATAACAATTGATTTTTAATATTTGAGATATAAATATTTTATTTTATTCTTATAGTTAATATATTTTGGTTTTGGTACCCAGCAAATAGTTCAAAGGGACTGTGAAAATATAGAAAAACGTTTTGAACTGTATTTAGACAATAAATTAGTTGAATTACCTGAATTACAATCAATAGTGTTTTTAAATATTGACTCTTGGGGTGCTGGTGTAAAACTATGCGGTAGTTTTATTTTACTATTTTTTTTTTTGAGAAGATCATAAGTAGAATACAGACTTATCAATGTATATTTTTAGAATTAAGTCGAACTGACTGTTCCTTAACTGATTTGAAGAACAGTATATCTGATGGATTGATCGAAGTTTTTGGGATTGTATCTTCATTCCATATTGCTCAACTTCAAGTTGGCATAAGTAAACCAATTCGAATAGGTCAAGCCAAACATATCCGGGTAATATTCAATTTATACAATGTTATCTTAAATGTTATATTTTATAATCAAGCATATAAAAATTACAGATTTTAATGAAACAAACTTGTCCAATGCAAGCTGATGGGGAGCCGTGGATGCAACTACCGTGTGATATTAGAATTCAAGCAAGAGGTCAAGCCAGAATGTTAAAATTTAGAAATATGTAAAAACTTAAACTGATTTTAAAATTTGATAAGGAAGGATTTTTGCTGGGAAATTTTAAAATTTTATTTATATTTTTTTAAAGCATTTACGAAAAAATATTCCAAGTTCGGAATGATATAATTCCTACGCGTATTTTTTGTAAATTTTACTTTGTATATGTATGAAGAAATTTTTTTTCATATTTTTAAATACACTTAATTTTATTTGATACTCAAAGATGGCTATATAAGAAAGGTTTCAACTAATAAATCTTTTGTATGCTTTTGATTATTTATAGCTGCAAAAATTATTAGGAAAATATGCAACAAATATTAAAGTTTGTTCTTAGTAACTCAAAAACTAGTCGATGTAATTCATGTACCTTCTAATATACGTTTTATAATTCAATTTAATACTCAATGTGATATGTTATTTGTATAAAAAATTTTGAAATTTTTAATGTGTATTTAAAATAAAAGCTGGAATTGATATTGTAAAGTTTCTAAATTTTTTTTCGTATATACAGAAACTTGTTAATTTGCGATAAATGATCTTTGTCGGGGAACAAAATTTTTCATTTAGGTTTACGAGTATTTATGTATTCTGTTTAGCCCTTTTAGTTCTAATAAAATCGGAACTCCATAACATAAAAATTAACTTATTAAAAATCACTATGTACAATTAATTCTAACACATTCTACTTTGTATTTGTTAATTTATGTAGCTATAGAAATTAAAATTATGTAGATAGAAAGTCTAATAAACACTGATAACACAAAGATTTTTTTGGTTTACTTTTTTATCCAACCCATGCACAGAAGTGATAAAAAAATATGCTTTTAAAGAATGACTAAATTGCGGTTTATTTTTTTTTCTTATTAACAATGAAACTATTTTATGTACTCTTAAGTATTACGTACATAGCTATTCTTTAAAACAAAAATCCAAACGTACATAGTTTCAAATTGGTATTATTACAATTTATGTGTAGGTATATGTACTGGGTTAATATTCATTCGAAAATTAATTAAAAAATACTCGAAATAAAAAACTTATGAAAAAAATTTAGTGAAAGTAATTTAAAAATGCAAAAGTACATTTTTTCCAATAGATAGGTATATTTTCTCGGTATTTACAGCATCGTCAGTTCCATAATTGCGTTAACGATGTCATTATTATTATTCCGAAGTGCTTTAATTGCTTTAGCTCGGGTTGTATTAGCCTGTGTTATAACCAATTCAATATCCTTTTCATCGACTCCAGTTTCATCAACTTCTTCTTCATCCTCTTCGGCGATTGGTGCAACTGAAGATGTTGTTCCAATAGTGTCTGTAGCACCTGCTGCACTTTCTGGTGCCTTGAATTTTTCTGCAGCGGCAACTTGAGCTTGTTGCGATAAATCTTCAATTTTAGCTTCACCAAAAATAATGTATGTGTCACTATGGGGATTTTTATACACATCTGGGTTATTTATAACAAATAATATATTTTTTGATTTCCGAATAGTAACTCTGTTAACTCCTTGAATTTGTTTCAATCCCAATTTTAGCATAATTTTACGAGCTTTTTTCTCTCCTCTTGATTGTTTGGCTTTTGATACCATATCAATTGGCAAACCGGTAGCACCCCCACCCAACTGTGTGGTTGCAGCCCCTGCATCTTCCAATTCAGGAATAGTATCTTCTGAATCTGTGTCGCTTGCATCATCTTCAATGCGTACTTCAGATTCGGCTGCAGTACTAGGTTTTGCTGCTTCGGCTTGTGTTTCGGTCTTAATTTCTGTTAATTCGGGCATATTTTCTGATTATTTAACACTTATTACTATCTAAAATATAAATTGAAGATATAATCAACAAAAATTTATTATATTCAGAATGTTTATATATTGAATGACAAAAATTTTACAGAGGCATAAATAAAAATATACTGAATTTAACGAAAAACTTCGAACGAAATCACTTTTATTATATAATAAATAATAACTTTTAACTACAATAAGTTCATTTAAACATTAGATTACCTTAAATTTTTAAGATTATAGTTTAAGAAATTTTCACACAGGGCCGATTTTTTGCAAAAGGATAATTTGTTTTTGACGTTTAAAATCTATTCATAAATCATAATTGTCAGTGTCATATTTTATTGTTATAAGAAAAAAGTTTGTATAAAAAACCGCTAGAGTTCGATACTTTACTTTTAGATCACTAATAATCTAAAGAATTTGCAATCAAAATTTACGGTATTTACTGTTCAAAAATAAATGCACCATAAATATTGCGGGGAAGTGTTAAAAAGTTTGGACAATGGACTATAACATAAGAATAAACTTAAAAATAAATACAGTAAAATAATTATTAAACTATGAATATTCTGTATTCGTCAAAACTGTTTAATTGACAATTGCAACTCCACCTATTTTAACACAGCGTAAACACAACATTTTTTTTAGATTGTTGTCAATTATGTCAGACTCATTTTCCTAAATAAAAAAACTTCAAAATTTTGCCGCTTGTTGAGAATAAAATTAGAATATAAAATAAAACACAAAAATAAAAAATATATAAGTAGTTGCATTATTTAAGAATGTTTGAAGTTGAAAGTATTCGAGCTGATCACAAAGATGTTATTCATGATGTAGCTTACGATTATTATGGCAAAAGATTTGCTACATGTTCCAGTGATCAAACTATAAAGGCATGTATCAAGTTTTACTCAGTTTAATAATATACTTATATTATTTTATAAAATCTGGGCAGATATGGGATTTGGATGAAAATGATCATTGGGCAGTTTCTGCGAGTTGGAAAGCACATTCCGGCTCTATATGGAGGGTTTCATGGGCTCATCCGGAATTTGGTCAAGTCATTGCTACCTGTTCTTTTGATAGAACAGCTTCAGTTTGGGAGGAAATTGTGGGAGAAAAAACGACTCCAACAATGAGTCCAGTTAAAAGATGGCAGAGAAGAACAGCTTTGGTTGATTCTAGGACCAGCGTAACAGATGTTAAATTTGCTCCAAAAATTTTAGGTCTTTTATTAGCGACAGCTTCAGCAGATGGAATAATTAGAATATACGAAGCTCCTGATATTATGAATCTTTCTTTATGGCCAGTTCAACATGAAATTGCTTGCAAAGTTCCTCTAAGTTGTTTATCTTGGAATAAGTCAATGTATAGATCACATTCCCCGCTAATTGCAGTGGGCAGCGATGATAAGTCGGCTGACGGTGGCAAAGTATTTATATTTGAATATAGTGAGAGTGCTAGAACGTGGTCTAAAGTGGAAATTATAAATAGTATAACAGATCCAGTTCATGACATTGCATTTGCTCCAAACGTCGGTAGAAGTTATCATATTTTAGCAGTAGCCAGTAAAAATTTGCATATACTAAATATAAAACCAATATCGTAAATTATTCTAAAACATTAGTATCTCTATATAAGTTCTTAAAATATAAAAATTTTAGAGATCCGAATGGCACAAACCGATTAGAAGTGCAGACTGTAGCTCAGTTTAGTGATCATTACTGCCAAGTTTGGAGAGTTTGTTGGAATATATTTGGTACAATGCTAGCCTCCTCTGGGGATGATGGTTGCGTACGAATTTGGAGAAGTAATAAGAAAATAAAGATGTAAAAATATGATTTTGATCAAATTGTGTTTTTTAGTGAATTATATGAAAACATGGAAATGTGCAGGTGTTCTAAAATCTGAAGGATGCCAACCACCTCAAGAAAAAACTAATGTTCAAACTGCTAATAATGCTGGTTCGTCAACTCCACAATACAAATATTATAAACGTGGAAATATTGTTACCAATGCGACACACGTTCCTTGGCATTAGTATAGTTATCTATTTGGGTTTACAAACATGCATTTCCAATAATATTTTATTTGTATAAAGTTCAAACTATAGCAATTTATAATTACAAGTGGAAGCAAGTTTTTATAAAAAAAAATTTATTAACTTAATTGTAGTTATGATTATTAGAACTTAATTGTACACTACTAGCTATTTTTCGATGACATTAACACAAAACACCTTGGAGACAATTTGTCGTCTAAAATTTTTTGATATCTGCTGTTTATGTTCAAGTCTTTCATTTGCGATTGTTCATTGATATAACAAATTCGATCATATAAAATTAGATTTTCACATATTCCCTGAAATAAAGCGCAACCATAATAAAAACATTCAACAAACACAAATATTTTCGAGCTAACCTGCATACTTGTTTGGAGACAAGTCAAAGCCTCTGCTATTTTTCCTCCATTAGGAAATTTTGCTAGCATTTTTTGTACTTGAAGTTCACGTTCTTTTGTCCATTCTAATACGATACCATTGCTTTTTAGTTGAATTTCATAAATTGATTTAATTTTGTTCACATTAATATCAAAATATGAAGTTTTTGTACTTTTATTTTTTTTCTTTGTGATAACTTCATTTTCATTTCTAATTGTTTCCAATATTCCTCTTACAAACATTTCTTCACCATGATTCAAATGCTCTAGATTATCCATCACGCGCCATCTCGATGCGGTTTGTTGGCATGCTAATCGTAGAAATGGTCGATTCAGAAAATTACTGAACTGGAAATTTGCAGCTTGATCCTTAAAGCAGTTACTAAGTGGAAAGTTATTAAATAAAATATTAGCATCCTTGTTAAGGTTGTTCGAAATTGTTAATTTGTGATAGCAACAAGGCATCATTATGAGTTTTCTAATTTGTGGATTTAAAAGAAATATATTTATAGAAACAATAGCCAAATCTGCGCAAGAATGAAGTCCAATAATGCAGATTTTTGGATTTTTTAATTTAGGGAAATTTTCCTCTATACAGTTTTTAATGAATATGTCTGACGACTCTGTTATATAATGATTTTGGAAATATATGTTTCCTATGGCATTTGGGTAATATTCTTTAATTCTTTTTGTCGCAGTTAAAATTCGATCAGGATCCGATTCTAGCCCAAGCACTTTGCTTTCATTATTAAGTCTATACAGGCATTCACTTAAATAACCTAAACCACTTCCAAAATCAACAAAAATGTCAATTTCCCTACAATTATCCAGAATTAAATTTGCGAGTGCTGTTATTTCATGAACTTTCTTCACGTTAACCTTTTTAAAATTTAAACTGTTGTTGATAATTTTTTCCGTGCGAAATTTCTCTATATCTGCTTTTAGTGAACTTATTTTTAATTGGAATTCTTTTAATGAGTTGGGTGGATTGTCCTAAAATTTTTGAATAGGCAATTTGTTCTTACAAAATATTCATTTAATTACTTACGGTATTCAAATTTTCTGGGAAAAAGTTTAAATTGTTCTCTGAAATATTTAAGAAATAATTTATCCATTCCTGTGGAAATTTATTTATGACATCTTCTTTAATAAAACATGTATTCGCTGTTGTATATATCCAAGAATACTTTTCAAGAAATTTTAAAATCTCCAAAAAGTATTCTGTAGAACTAGAGAATCCAGTTGGAAGAGACATTGATCCACAATTAAATTAAACTATAAATAAAGAAACAAAAATTTGAAATAAAAAAAATTTCACCGCACAATCACTTTAAAAAAGCATCATTTGTTTTTACTAAATAATAAAAATAACTTGTATTTTAAATTTAACATTCGTTTTATTGTATTTAGTTATAAAATTCTACTATGAATAGAATTTGTTAATATTAAATTAAAGCTAAAATTTAGTTATTCTGCGTTATTGTCTTCCAATTTCCACTACTTTTAGCAATATCACTATTTTCCGGACCTAATATTGTTTTACCATAATGTTCAGGTTGATTTTTGAAATATTTTTCTATACAATTATTTAATTCATCAACTGTAACATTTAATACTTTCTGTCTGTATTTGCGGAAAATTTCTTCTGATATACCATACAAGAAAAATTCATTTCCACGATTTCCCGGTGCTATTGGTGCATCTAATTGCTGCAATACTCCTAATTTTGATTCAAATAGTGTTTGTTCATTTAGCACACTTGTGTTCTTCTTTAACCAGTTGTAAGTGTTATCAAAGGTATCTAATGTTTTTGTCGAATTTGGATCACGATAACTGAAAAAATTAAAGATACCATCAGAATTCAACTTTGCACCAGAACCATACGCTCCATTTTGTTCTCGTACTACGGGTAACAAATATTTGGCAGAGATATATTTAGCTAATAGTCTTAAAGTTGGGTGATCTCTATGGGTATATGGCACAGTCATAAATGCTTTTGCACAATAATTTACAGGTATATTCATTACAAAATGTTGACAACTTGGCTCTAACAAATTTATTTTGTTTTCTGGCTTTGTTCTTTCTATGTTTGGTAATTGTTGCACGAATTTTTCATATTCTTTAATTAACGTAGGCAAAAAAGTTTCTGTTGTGTTGACAGCTACTCTCATTGTATAAGCATTGAATATTTTGTGACCAAGCTGTGTTATATTGCCCATTATTTGTTCTGGTTTTTGAGTTTCTGTTAATTTTTTCATGTATTCTATATGTTCAACTCCAGCTAGAATTGATTTTAATTTTGCTGAATCTGTAACCAAACCATTGCAACTTTGCATGGCATATAAATGTCCCGATTGTGTAATTCCAACAGAAAGAGATGATAAATAATTGTCTAGAAGCATGCTAAAACGTTGAACATCATTCATATTGAAGTTGCACAAAAGTTCTTGACATAATTCAAACATTTTACTTGCATTGTGATCTAAAGCATGAGTTGTCATTAGAATTCCAAGATCGTAAGTTTTACTATCGTATATATTTTCAGCAAAATGTAATTTAAACCCTATCCCAGACATTGAACTGGTAACAATTTTATCAAATGTTCTGTAATCATATTTTTTTGTTCCCATTTCATTAATCACATCACAGAATAATGGAATTAAATAAATTTCTTCTTTTGTTAAAGGTGCTGAATCAAACAAAACTTTTAAGTACGAAATTTCATTCGTTGGAACCGCGCATATTTGTGTTGGACATTTTTTAACCTTAACAACATTTAAACCTGTTGCTTGCGGAGGTTCTCGTACGTCAGCAATTGATAGACATGGTAAAAGCTCCGTATTTGGTGGAGCTTTTTGACTTTCATCTAGTTTCAATCCATCTTCGTATATACGAATTTTGTCATCTTCTGTTAAATTTTTAACCTTTTCAGCTAAAATAATTTAAAAAATTTTTCGATAATAAATAAAACTGTTACATAATAAAATTATAATATAGATTGATACCTAATAAAGCTTGTTCTGCCTTTTGGAATTTACTTTCGTATTCATCATCAGGAGTCATGGTTAAAGTTAGTTTATGTTTGTTGTTTATGAAATATTGCTCAATTTTCTTTTGCAAATATTTTGGATCGTTTTTCAAGGAATCTCTAAAAAGCTGAATCATATTTGAAACCTTTAGAGAGTCTACAACGTTCCCTTCATGTGACCATAACGGAGTCATGTTAAACAATAATCCTAAACCAAATTGTGGGGTTTGATGTTTTAAAGATAACTCTATATTATGTAAAACACTTTCGATATGATCCTTTTCAAATCCATTTTCGGCAACTTTGTGAATTGTTTCCTTAAAAATTTTTTGAACTCTTGAAAAGTCGTCAACTTTTATGTCTTGTAATCCAACGCTAAATAGGGTGTCTTTCAAGTTCGATTCATACCCAGTTGTTCCATTGTACCCACCAGAAATGTTGGGTTCTATTAACGACTTATAAAAATAGGAGTTGGGACCTCTTATCAATAAATTCGATAAAACTGAAAGTACTAGATTTTCATATATATCCGTAATATCACTCATAAGCATAGCTATTGAAATTTGATTTTGTTTTTCAAATGGCGCCCCCATGTTATCGAAACGGCTATATATATGAACATTTCTTGGTTCAGTCCAACGTGTTTGACTGGGTATTTTGCTGTATGAATTGTCAATTTTGTCATATTTTTGTAAATATTCTCGATCTATATATTCTAACGATGGTTTCAAATCAAAACGACCATACGAATATATTCTTGCATTACTTGGATGGTAGTATTTTTTGTGAAAATCAACTAAATTTTGATGAGTTAACTTCGGAATATCTAATGGATTACCTCCAGAAACAAATCCATATGTATGATCGGGAAGAATACTAAAATATGAAAATATGAAAAATTAAATTTTACTTTACTACAATTGTATCTAAAATAATACTTACCTATTTAGCAGTTGTTCTCCGAATATTGAAGTATTGTCGGAAAAAGCACCTTTCATTTCGTTATAAACTACTCCTTTAATTACATAATCAGATCGTTTATCTTTTAAAATTGAGTGTTCTAATCTCCATCCTTCTTGCAAGAAGTCCAAATATTCTAAATTTGGCTTGAATACAGCGTCGAGATAAATTTTCTGTAGATTTCTATAATCTACTTCATTCATAGAAGAAAACGGGTAAAGTGTATAGTCTGGACCGGTCATAGCGTTCATAAACGTTGCTACTGATCTGTTCAACATTTTGAAAAATGGGTCCCTTACAGGATACTTTTCAGAGCCACATAAGACACTATGTTCTAAAATATGAGGTAATCCAGTAGAATCGAATGGTGTCGTTCGAAAATTAATGGAAAATACATTATTCTGATCATCTCTGTCAATATACCACAGTTCCGTTCCAGTTTTGTTATGTTTAAATGTATAACTTGTTAAAGCAAATTCTGGTACATTTTCTGCTCTTGTACATAAGAAATTACTGTATGTTTCACCTGGCGTAAACTTACTTTCCCCTGTAATAATAGCCGGTGACTCAATAACATTTCGCTGAATGTCTGGCTGTTGGAAATTTGCTGATAAATATCTTCGAGATAAAATCTTCAACTTATTTCTGACTGTTGCAATTCTACGGATCATATTGAATTTTAATTTTATCCTTTACCAATTAATGTTAAGAATAGTTTGCTACAGGACTGTCTATCAATTTCACAAAATTACACAATTATAAAAACTTTGACAACTTAACTACGTTTTTCTGCGAATCAAGTAAAAACTTTTAATTCGAAACGCTCTTAATTCAAACTTATTATATAATAATATATATACATACCTGTTTTTTTATGCAATGATAGTAACAATTCTTATCTAATATTTGAAGGACGTTAAAAAGAGACTTTAATCCATTTGATCTTTCGAAAAAAAAAATCCTTTTATGAGCATTCAGCATGGATTTAGACTATCAAAAATCATATGTATTTATGTCAAAAAAAAATTTTACCGAAGGAGTCGAAGTTCAAAACATTTGTAATCCTAAACAGTCATACTAGTTTCTCCTATAAATAAACCTAAAAGTCATATTTTCATGAAAAAATACTAATATTTACTTCACTCAATAGCCGACTACAATCCCTTGTGTTTGATTTGTATTATTATTGATCAATAACTTTGTTTCGAGCGTCATTGTGGCCTGTACATGTTATATTGTTTGTTAATTTTTATTGTTTTATTAATTTTCAAAAATTACTATACGACAAAATTTAAAAATAAATCTACGATAAAGTATGATTATGTCAAATTTTATTAATTTGCTACAAACTAACTTAGTTATATAGTTGCTTATAACTAACTTATTTTTTGACAACGTCAAAGTATATATTAAAATTACTACGGCATTAATCAAGAAATTGAATAATAATACTTAAAAACAATATTGGAGCTTATTCTTTTCTACTGAGATAACCGGTTTGAAATTTAATACGGTCTTGTGGAGGGACCTTAAATAAAAAAAAATATCTTTTAGAAAAATCTTTTAATTGTTTTTTGTATTGTTGAAAACTACTAGTAAATAGTAATGAAAAAGAAAAGCTAGTGTATACATATTGGAAAAAAATAGATGTATTTATTTTTGGAAAAACTAATACCGGAGGATGCACCTAGTATCAAACAACTTAATAAATTTATGTAAATATTTATCTACAAAATTTGTGTAGAAATAAATTTAATTGAAAATAATATCTTAAAACGTAGAAACATATTCCTTATTTATTTTTAAAGCTCATTAGAGAAATTAGTGGGTATTGGAAAAATCGTTTGCCAACTGTTTGCAAATTAAAATCATGAATTGATCTTTTCCTATTTCATTCACAATACGAAATAACGTTTTCTTTTTGCCTTATTGTGAATAGGAAATTATACAATCGTGAATAGAACACCGAGTTGGGTATCAATTTTCTGACGTTTTTATTTAATTTTCAGAAGTTGATAAACAAATGAAAACAAACGCACTCCACAATCATATATTTTTTAAAATAACAACACAATAAAAATTTATCTCAACATAAAATGAGTACAATGGAAGCTGGAGTTTCTGAAATTTCTATTGATGATGGAGATGAGAAGCATGGTGATACAATAGAAGAGGACAACGATCGCCGAAGAAGTTTGAGAGATACAAGACAAAGGTATTAAAATTCTTATTTAATGCATTTTGTTTAAATGCAGAAATATATGCAGAACTTGTCTATATGTTCTTTGTGACTGGTTTTTAGGGCCGCTGCATCTAAAACAGTACAAAAGCTTCGAGAGGATTTATCATTTTTAGGTGATTTTGATCCAGAAAAGTCACGTCGAAGAAAAATAAAAGTAAAAAGGAAAGTTCCAGCTATTACTAGAAATACAGTATTTGATGATAAAGGTAGATACCGCGATAGTCTTTTTGATGTATGCGACTGTATGAAATACAATTGTCCTGGATGTTTTTGGCCTTGTCCCAGTTGTAGGTCAACAAAGTGTGGTCCTGTATGCAGATGTAACAGAAAATTTGCATATGAATCAATTGATTTTGATGGAAATAATGATGTCATTTCAAATATATACTATTATCCTAAAAAATAAATAACTCAAAAAACCATGTTACTTTATTTATATTTTACATTGTATAAAAATATTACTGGAGCTTTGAATGAAAAAGGGAACAACCTCTTCAAGCACTAAAATATTTAAATAGATTTCATGAAATTGTTTTTTTACTGTTTGTAGTGTTGAAAAATTACCATATCCTACACATAATGAAAAAATTCTACGTTCAAATTAATTTAAGAGACTTCTTTAAACAATCGCAAATTTTATATGGAGATGCAAAGCATGAACAAAGTATTTCAGGAATTTAAGTATTGTTTGTAATAAGAATTAAGATAAAATGAAAATCGAACTATTTTGAGAAATGAAATGAAGAAATGCATATTAATTACATATGTATATTGAAGTAAATTACGTTAATGTGTTCATTTAGAGAATGTGTTCATTGTCAGGTTGGAATTTTTTAATAGAATTTCGTTGAAGATTTTAAGAGTATTTTAAGACTAAAACTTTAAAATTAGTTTATTACTTCAACAAATACTTACATATTCAATAAATACTTAAATATTTTTCAAATTTGAATACAATTCAAGGTATTTTACAGAATAGTTCCTTTCAATTTAATTAACCTATTGTAAGCTAACCAATCAAAAACTTGGATATTTAAAGTATTTATACAATATCTAATATTATTATTTACCGAAGAAATAAATTTAATGATAATTAATTAAAGAAATTTCAATATAATTTTAGTTAGATAAGAAGTATTATGAAATGAAAAGCATTTAAATTTTTTTTTTTTGGTATAACATAGTTTTATTATTTTTTTATAATTATGCAAAGAGTTTTACATAATGGACATAGTTAAGCACAATTAGGCATTAATATTTTTTCTTTTGATTACCTTAAAGCAATTTAATATTTTTTTTTTTCTTTTAGTTATACAAGTATATATAATATAGTAATTACAAATAGTGTAAAATTAAATTATAATTTTTTTTTTTAAAAATTTCTTATTTATAAATACTTTACAATTTTTTTCATTTTTGGAAAATTTTCTACTTAAAATTAAATAATAATTAGATATTTTAAATTTTTAACATCTTTTAATAATTTACTAATTTTTATATTACATGTAATTGTTTATACAACGCATTATTATGTAGATATCTTGGTTTTTTCTTTTGGGAATTTCAATTATGCATAAATGGATTAAATAAATGAATTTTTATTAACTTAATAAAAATGAATAATTTTTGTAAAATTAATATTTTGTGATCTTTAAATTCATAATGTATGCAAATTGGTGATATGCAGACATATTTTTTTCTTTGCCATAAAATTTTAATAAATTTTTAAACTCTATTAATTTTTTTTTTGTTATATAATTCTGGATCTATTCTTAATTTTAATTTAAGTATGAGATTTCTGATTTTGATTTTATTCTATATGAGATTTTCGAATTTCTAATTTATACAATTTTATAATAATGCTGAATTTTCAAAAACAATATTATATTTGAAATGGTTTTTTTGTTTTTTCTGAAAAATGGAGAATTTTTTAGAAATAAATTAAAATTTTTTTTTTTTAATCAACTACATATTTTATGTGAGTAGATAAATTAAAATGAAAGTTATGTTCTAAGAAATTATTAATATTTTTTAAAGGTATTTTTTTTTTATTATCAAAAATAATTTAATTTATAAATACAAATTGTAATAGTTTTCTAATTTAATAATATATTTTTTATTTATTTTTATTTAATTGTTTAAAAATAATATCTGTTTTATGAAATGAAAGGGTTAAAATTAAAAAAAAAAATATTAATTTTAGCTCTTAATTCTTTTTAACATATTTTTCATATTTTTTTTTAATAATATTCTATTAGTTAGAATAATATTATAGTTTTTTAAGACTTTAAATTCTATTTAATATAATTTATTTATTTAAAATTTTTGTAGTTTTTAAATTTTTCTGTATTTTCTATACCCATTCTATGTATATTATATTCTATTTCTTTTATTTTAAAATTTCAATTTACAATTTTTATCAATTTAAAATATTTATTTTTTGTAAATTAAATTATATATTTTAATATTATGTATATATACGAGTAATGTATATTATATAAATGTAGTATTCGAATGTTAACTTCTACTGTGGTGTTTCTGAAGCAAAGATTATTTTGCTTGTAAAATAAAAAAAAAAAAAAAATTTTTTTTTTTCTTTTAATTTTTTCTTTTCACATGAAGACAAATATTTTATTTTTAATTTAAATTCAATAGAAACAATTACATTGAATGAAATAATTTAAAAAAAAAATTAAATATTTTTATTTTTTTTTTTTGTTTTGATTTTATTATGAATGATAATGATATGTTTTATTTTATAAAATAGCGAAATATATTTTAATTAAATTAATTTTAACATTTAATTATAACTATAACCGATTTAATTAATTTTTATGTATTATTTTATAACATATAAAATATTATGTTTTTTAATTAATTATTTTGAGAAAAATAAGCAAAAGTTTGCTGATAACGAAACACCAATGTTGTATATAATTGTTTTGTTTTTTTTTTTTGCATACATACATAGTAACAATAAAAATATATTACAAGACATTTTCATAAACTGCAAAATGCAATACTGCAAAAACATGATGAATATGTAATATATTATTAACTATGAAAACGGTATATATGATTTAACGGACGCTACTCATACTAATTTCGTTACATTATGAAAAATTTTTCAGATTTATGTACAAATTAGGTTAGCAATATTTTCGTTATGAACACAACGTATAGCACAGTTTTCGCTATATGTCACGATATACTGCGTTTATGAAAACACCTATACTTATATAACATGCTTAATAAATTTTTATTAATATAAATAATATTAAAATAATTTATTAATATAAATAGTAATCTAGTATATTGAACTTTTATTTTAGTACAGATTTCTAGAAAAAAAAATTTCAAACACAGGATGTGAAATTATTGCCGGAAAAAAATTTGAAAAATTTTAAGAAAAATTCATATTTACATACACAAAACAGGATTCGTATAAATAAATAAGATAAACTTGTGTACATAATTTATAGTATGTGTTTTAGTAAAATAATTTATAGTATATCAAATACTAATTAAATATATAGTTATACACTGAATGTAACAAATGGAACGCTATTTTTATATGTTTCAACAGTAAAAAACTAACTTATAAACTTAAATATGAAGAATTTTTGACGTAAAGTTTCTATATCAAAATGTGATGTCATCTATACTGGGAGAAAAATGTTCGTCCTCTACCTTCTTACATAGGCTGGTTTACTTGAGTGTAGAGAGGCGTAAATGTGAATAATAAAAGGGAACGCTTATAATGTATTTATTTTAATTTTACTTTGGTATTATTGTATGATTTAAAATATAATTTATATACAGTAGTTTTGTGCTATACCATCGAAAAATAAATTTGAATTGATAAGTTGGCAATAGAAGTTTGAAAGGTAAAAAAAAAAACATACTATTTAATATTATGTAATATATAATATATTTTAATATATAATTTATGTATATAATCTATGTATATATTTAATTTTTTTTCTATTATTTTATATTTTTAAGTAAATAATCCAATGATATTTAAAATAATTTTAAAAAGTTTATTTTTTATTTTTAAATAAATAATTATTATTTTACATAAAATTCCAAAAATAATTTAATTAATATATAAATATATTATATATTTTGTATGTATGTATGTATATTATAATTAAAATATATATATGTATAGTTGCATATGCGTACGTATTTTTGTATACAATTAAAAAATATTTTTTTCTTTACTATTTCTTTTGTTTTTAATTTCATTTTTACAAAATAAATTTTTTGTTACTAAATATTTATTAACAAATTAATATACACTCATAATTTATTTATTTTTTTTTTTTTAGAACTCTTTAAGAGCAATAATAAAGTTTTATTTTATTTATTTTATTAGTTTACTTTATAATATAATTATATTTTTTGATCTTTATTGTATTTATATATAGTTTTTGATAAATTACACATATTCGGAAAATTTTGTAATTTTAGTGTAAAACATTAAGGATTTTTGTCTATAAAATGTGTCACATATACATTTGTGACATCTCTTGGAGGAAATTTGCACGGAAGTCATATTTTTAGTTCTAGTTGGAGGAAAGTTTAAAAATTGAAGAATTGTGGGAGAAATAAAGTTTTATACAACTCTGAATTCTATTTTGATGTTAAATTTGAAATTTCTATAAGAAGAAAAAAATACATGGTGTTTACAATTTTGTCAACAATCGAGTATTTTAATTAATTTAAACAAAAATTGACATATATTCCAAAGAATAGTGAACTAATTCATGATTTGTAGGAAACAAAATATTAAAGAAGGAAGAAATTATAATTTATTTATAAATCAAGAAAAAGAAGAACGGTTTTGGATAACTTAACATATAATTTATAGACAAGCTCTTTATTTGTTTTCATAATATATTTTTATAATATTATGTAAATTACATTATCTGTACAATTATTTATTTTTATATTTAATTATGTAATTTATTTAATAATTTTGATTTTATTTTGTTTTTATAATAATATAAAGTTTTAGAAATTTTCTAATAATTAACTACTAAATTTATACAATAAATTAACTATTATAAATTGTTTGCAATAAATAGACAGATTTTAAAATATTAATCTATATAATATTTTTATATTAATTCTAACATGAATCAGTTTTTATTATAACTATACATTTCTAATTTTAACGTTAATTAAATAATGATTAACAATATTAATTTTATATAGCTAAAAGTATCGTACCACAAGTACCTACTATGAATTACTAATTAATTTATTAGAATTACTAAATTTACTACTTAAAAATTTCAATATATATTAATGACTACATAAATATTTCGTTAAATAAGATGATTTACTAAAAGTTTGATCCCTATTTTTTTTTTTTTTTTGCAATGACATAATCTAATATATTTTCTTTTCTAATTTTTTAAACATTCAGTTTTATATTATATATTGGATATAAATTAGTAAGATTATGTTTTCTTTTTTTTTTTGTTTATTTTAAAATATATATTTTGTATTTTTAAAAGAACTTTTAATTTACCTAAATTTAAAAATTAAAATAAAAGCTAAATTCTAATTCTAATTAGAGTATAGACACATATTGTATTTTTACTCTTTAATTTTCTTTTAATATGTGGAATATTATTTTTGATTTTTATAAGTCTAAGCGCATTTTTTTAAATACTATTCGAAAGAATCAAGGTTATTCCCGAATATTAGCTTTATTATTTTTCTATTGCGGAATGTTTTTGGTATTTAAGTTAAAAGAATAATAAAATTTTTAGAATAAATATTGTAAGAATAAAATTCTGCCGGAATTAGGTGTTAGTTATACAAAAATTTTATTTATTATTAAAAAATTGCAAATTATTCAAAAAAATAAAAAAATTATCAAGTTATAGACCTATAAGGGTTTTCTGATATTGTTTGACAAATTAAAAAAAAAAAAATGCG